GTGCTGTGGTTGGCAGCGGCGGGTGACGGCCTGTGATTGGGGCCCAGGGATACTTGGCGGCCCCGGCTATCTGCCATCTGAACGGGTTTTCTTTCTGCTTGTCCCGCCGTACATACATACCGTCGCTCTGGCCCTTGCGGATGCGCTGTGTCTGAGCCCGCTTGGCACGACGAGCGCTCGGGTTGGGCGCCGGGAATGGATCGCCGGCCTCGCCGCATTCACTGTCGTTGTTGTCGAGCTGATTGGGTGACAGCTTGCGCTTAGGCTGATCACACCCGCCATGGAGGGCAGGGGTAATGGTGCCCGTGTCATCGGTCGCCGCTGGCAGCAAAACCATTGCGGGTGCATTACCGACAACAGCAACCCCCATCCCGAACGCCCTTATCAGGAAACATTCCAAGCTTATCTTGCTGTTTTTGTGTTTGTTCGACGTTCGAGTCGTTGTGCCTTTTGCGTGTTTGGCTATATGAGGACCGGTCATACATTCTGCTATGCCGCGTTGACTCACGGGCGTGACCTTCTTACGGCCCATCATATCTGTCAGTTTTCCGAGTGAAACGAAAGAAACCAAGGTTTTCCGTGTATTCCGTGTATATGTATAGCGAACTCGGTTGAATGACGTTGGTGCGTACGGCTGGACCGTAGTGGGCTAGGATAAGTCGCAGGAGTGCGACGGAAAGAGTAATTTCGCGAGTTCATAGCGTCAGAGAGTACTGACCGGTTTCCGCTGCGGCTTCTGCCCTAACCTACAGCGTTCAGAAGCAAAGTTGCTCGGTAACCAGGCTCGCCCCCCACCTCCCACGGAAGCAAGCACTACTTTCCTGCCTGCAGGTACCCCTCCGTCTGTACGACTCCTAAGCGGTACGGCAACTGCTCAAGAAAACTATTCTATGATTGCAAATACTAAGGTCTGCACACTACGGAGCAATCTGGCGGCAATGGACGTTTTAGGCAGGAGAAATGAAATGTACAGGTCGGCCTCAATTTATTCTTTTTTTCCAAAGGCCAAAATGTCGATTTATTCGTTTTCAGGAATGTATTACTTAGGAGAAACGCTGTCCCTATCCTCACCCCTGCCCACCTGTTGTGCCACATCCAGGGGCAGCCCCGACTTATTGGCCCGCTTGGCCCAGTCCCAAATGTAATGCTTCCGTACATCACAAAAGAAAAGATCGTTGCCGCTCATGCTGGCGGGGGGAGGGAGGGGTCGATGGGGGTACCAGGAAGGTGCACGTGTGTGTGTGTCTGTCTGTATGTATGCGTGGGGTTTGACCCTAAGGGGCATTCATGGCAATTGGGGCGTGGTGCTGGTGATGATGCTGGTGATGGTACAAAAGGCGAAAAGGGTCAACCCTGCCAACCCCCAAAGCACGACTGCGTGCGATCCAAAACAGGCAACACTATGCACCAAACGCGATAACGGGATACCGCAGTCTGTGTGTGTATATGTGTTCCCCCTCCCCTTCCCTCCCCACACACCTCTTCCCCCCCCTCATCTCCCGCGCTCTCTCTCCCCATTATGCATCGCCACTTATTGTCCTTTCCCATCACTCTCCCTCTTCACTCCAAATGTACATATACGTCCCACATATAATCAGATATAGATAGATAGATAGATAGTAGATAGGTAAATAGATAGATAGTAGATAGGTAGATAGATAGACATAGTTATGTTGTTTGCTCACCGGCAGATTTCCTTGCCCTCACGGCCCTTGCGGTACAGCTCCGGAGCGTACTGGTTGGCTGCGCGAGCGTACGGCGAAAACCTGGGGGTGGCCACACAGCCCTGGGTGAGAGAAGGAAGCTGGGGCCCGCAACTGGGATGAGGTCGAACGTGAAAGTTTCAAAGGCAGGCGTCCGCGACCTTCGTGCCTTTCTCGCCTACGCCACACCCACCATCATCAACAACACTGACTACCCCACACAACCCCGCAGGAAAAAAAATTTCCAACTTTGCCGGTCGCTTGGCGCATTACACTCCTCCAAAAACACAAACAGTCGAACCAGCTACGGTCTCCCTGCGACCGCATCATACGAGAAATTCATTACCTTTCAATAAGCTAATTAACTGACTAACTAACCTCCCAAACAGCTTCGGCGTCTTACGCTCCCAGGGCCACTTGGAGCTGAAGTTGGCCGCTGCACTCAGAAAGTTCCCCGTAAAGTTCCTCATGAAGAAATGTATGTCGGGGACCAGGACGTCTGCGTGGGAGCGCGGCGACTTGCAGAAGCTGAGCAGCAGCGGTAGGCGCTGCGGGTCGGTGCCGTTTGCGTGGTAGTGCAGCAGCGCCGCGGGTTCGTCTGCTGTGCTGAAGAGGAACTCGACGTCCGGGATGGCGGAACCGAAGGTGGAGGAGAGCGCGAGGAACAGCGCAAAGTGCGAGGAGATGAGGCGCTGAGGGAGGAGGAGGAGCGCGAGGAGGAGGGGAAGGGGGAGGAGGATGGGGAGGAGGAGAGGGGGCGGGTTAAGGTCTGTGTGGTGTGATGGGTTGGAGGGATTCAGGGTGGGAGGTGGGGAGGGTTTGAGCTTGGGAAGGGGCATTGGGGGAGCGGCATTTCGGGATGGTTGCGGAAAGGGAGGGTGCTGCTGGTAGGTTGAGGCCAAAGGTCCCTTCGCATCAGGAGCTCAGCAGCGTAGTGTAGTGGGAGGAGGAGTTACAAAGCTTGTGGGGATCAGCTTGCATCAGCTATCCATTACAAGACCGACATGACAGCGCGGTCTGTCAGACACGACAGCAGCAGTAAGTGCAAAGAGAATCGCAGCTTTTTTTGTCAGGAGCTTTGTCCACAGGCTTGGCGCACGTCATGTTGGGTTTCATGGTTCTGTATGTGTAAAGCACATTCAAGGGCACCTGGTGGTGGGCTGTGGTGTTAATTATTGCAGGGTCGGTGATGATGTACGGCTTGCCGCCCATAAACAGGATCCCTGCGCCTTTGTGCCGGACAGGGAAGTTGTAGATGTTGCCCAGTACCCAATCCATTAGTTTGGCGGTGATGCCCGTCTCCCGCCAGAAGCGTAAGTCGCGGTGGATGGTGTCATACAAAGCTGTGAAGTTGCCCGTCGTGCAGTAATCTGCCGCTTCCTTTTGCTCGGTTGTTTGTCGGAGCTGTCGCTGAGATAATGTCAGGTACTGATTTGCGAGTCGCAGTTTGTCTGGCTCTATCCTTGCGGGGTGCGAAGGGAACAACGCGCCCCTCGATTGGGACAGACGAATGGTGACCAGTAATGTCAGGATACACACCCAGGAGAATGAATAAACTGGCACTCTCGTCATCATGGATTAAGTTATTCAAAAAGCTACAGCTACATTCTTCTGGGGTGCTTCTAGCTATCTGCACGAGAGGCTATTACAGTAGTATGCCCAATACATATCATACAGGGCTATGATATGCAGTGGCGATCGTTTCGTTGTGGAGCAAGCCGAAACAGCTCCGGAACCCAGCATAATGTAACTTAGAGGTCTGCTTTGCACAGTTACAACATATTTACTTTCATAGAGGAGGATATGCACATTGGATAACATTTGCGCTCTGAGGTGACGCCTCCAAGCAGGAGTAAAGTTTTGCATTTACCTTCTGAAGAGCCCATCATAGAATAATGTTATCTTATTGCTTCTTAACATTATAAATTTTTGTGGGTTAGGGCCACACGATGATAAGAGATTGAGTCTAATTGCATGCACATGAACTCAAGGGCCGGGGCCAGGTTCCCCGGCCCGAAACATACGAGTGTTATAATAACACTACGCTAAATCCCTTAATATTTTCTTGAGTGAATCAGTCACGGGTGCTGCATCGGACCGGACCGGGCCACCCATCACAGTAAGCTTGAGCACATACGACAGCTGCATCCCGAAGAGGGAAACTAGCGATCATGGACTGGGAGAAAAAAACCGCCGCTCGGCCACCCCTACGGGAGGCCGCGGCCGATGTGTTCAACGACACGAAGACCCCCGGCCAGGCGCTGCTGACTGCGCTACAGGCGGCAGAGACGGTGAGCAAAGCTCCCCATACTACGTCCACTACTATCTCCCGTGCTGCCTCCTTCACCGGCTGTTTGCCGTACCGATCAACTCCCCGTTCCCAACCATCCGTGCGAAGCCTTATGCCGCGGCCGCATCACGTACACGGCCCAAATCACAAACACGCTCTACGAGGCCTCACGCCGACGGTCTCAACCGGATCGAACGCCATGCCATCATATTCGCCTCATATCACCACAGAGCACAGGGTCGCAATCCAAGCTGCACAACTGGAATCCAAAATGCGAACACTCCATGGCATGGGGTCATAACCTGTCGCTGCGCCATCGGGGCCACCTGATGGCCGTCTCTGCACCCGCACTCGACAGCTTCCCGACATCAATACTGCACTGCACACGCAGCCGCCTTTCGCCTTGCAGCTTAAAACGCAGAGGGGGAGCCCCGCCGTCATTAATGGACTTCACAGGTGCCCCGCACACACACAACCCCCCCGTCGCTGTGTACACAGAAACAAATTACAGTGCACAGGGTGCACCGATGGACAGCGGTGCTACCCACGTGCTTGCTTCCCTCCGCCACACCCTCCCACCCGCCGTTGTACCCAAAAGCACCTCCTACCCGCCCATATACCATCTACACTGATCTGGGTCGTCCAGCATGAATGCCGCAACCGATGTGCGTGGCCCCCCGGCTCCTCCTCCTTCTGTCCTCTTGTTCATTCACTTTTCGCACGACGGGATCAACCCGCTCGTCCGTTTTTTTCCCGCCATTTCATTCTCCATTTTTCGACATCCGCATCCTCCCCCCGCGGCATACGCAACCTGCAGCATCCCCTTGCTTTGACCTCCACCAGCTGGGTCAGGCGGCCCAGTCCCTGATCTGGGTCACACACATGCATGCACACATATACACACCTCTTTCTTCCTGGCGCCTACCTCCCTCACTTCCCTGCGCACTCCCACACTACACCACTGTACCGCGGCTACTGCCGCTTCTACCTATCACTACCGCCGCTACTACCACTACTGCCGCTACTATCACTATCAGTGCCGTGGCTACTGTAACTGATAGTGCTACTGCCCCTGCTACTGCTCCCTCCGCTGCTGCTACAGATCCGTAAGGACCGCTACAGCAGCACAGTGGCCGCCAAGATGAAGGCAGCGCGGGAGTACCTCCCCGCCCTCGAGCCCCGACACCCGCCCAAGTCGGACGCGACCATCTTTGGAAAGGCCAGAGCGGAGGTGGCGTCGCTGCTGCCTAACGGCGGCGTCGCGGCGGCGACGGCACCGTACCTTCCCGGCAGCCTCCGCAGCGGCAAAGTCTCCCTGGAGCATGTTACGTCAATGATGGAGGGGCAGATGGAGAGACATAATGAGGTGCTTGTGTGCGTGCGTGTGTGTGTGTGGGGGGGAGAGGAGGTTGTTGTGTCTGTGTGTGAAGGGGAGGGATGTTTAAATGTTCTGAGCCACGGGCAGCAGAAGTACATGGTGGTACATGGGAAACTTTACCAAAAAAAGGAGTGCTGGGCGTGAAGGCGTCTCGCGTTTTGGGCCAGGGATTGAGGGCTGGGGGGAGTGAAGGTGAGGAGGGATGCGGGGATGGAGCTGAGGGTTGCAGTGTCTGTGTGTCGGTTCGCCTCAGTTTGTCTGTCTGTCTGTCTGTCTGTCTGTCTGTGTACGGATCTTGGGGTCTACAAGAAAGACTTAGCACGACCGCGCGCGTCGAAGAAGCCCTCGAGGTCCCTTCCCGCTTTCCTTGGTCCCGCTTTCGACACCCGTGTAATCAGGTCCCCTTTTCTTCTCTTACCCCCTCTCCTTCTCTCCCCCTCTCCTCCTCTTCCCACCTGCCACCTGCCACCACTCCTCGTCCCGGCCGCCCGCAGGCGTGGGAGGCGTTTGTCCGCGCCCGTGAGGAGGCTCGTGCGGACCTGGAGGAGGCTGTTGCGGCTGCTGCTGCCTCCTTCCAGCAGCGGCTGGCGGGTGACGACGCGGGAATTGCCGAGGACATGTCGGCACTGGATGATGACCGGGTGATGAGGCTGACGGGGCAGGAGCTGTACCAGGTGGGTGAATACGTGGGCGGGTGGGCGGGAGGGGGTGGGGGGTGTGAATGAGTATGTATGTATGTATGTAGGTAGGTAGGTATGTATGTAGGTAGGTAGGTAGGTAGGTAGGTAGGTGGAAATCACATGCGAGAAATGAAGGGTCAAACTGCTGACTAACGCACGTAGCACGTAGCACGTAGCACGTGGCACGTGGATGGTGGATGTGGGTGGTTTGTTTTTATGTGGCGGCGTCCCCCGGGCCCCATCCTCCCGCCCGACAGACAGCGATCCCGCTCGGCCCCCGCAACCACCACACCGCACCACACCATGCCGCGCAACCCGCCCCCTGCCCTTCCCCAGGTGTGGGACTGTGTGGCGCAGCGTATTCCGCAGCGGGCGAGGTGGATTGAGGAGTGCTCGGCGGCGCTGGAGGCGGCTGAGGAGCGGCGCAGGGAGGTGGGTGATGTGGGGGCCGTGAGGGTGGCGATGGCGATGACAATGGCGATGTGTAAGGAACGGCCGATGGGGGAATGTCGAACCCGAGGGGGTTACGGGTATGTGTAGGGGAACGACCGAAGGCAATATAATGACGTAGGCAGCGGCATAGGCGGTGTGGGGTAAAGGGAGACGGAAGCTTCGTTCGGATATCCTTTGCGTGAGTCGTTTTTCTTGATCTCGTTGCTCTCGCAACTCAACATCGTGAATCCCCCCACACACACGCACACGCACACGCACGCGCACACGCACACGCACACGCACACGCACGCACACACGCACACGCACACGCATGCACACACACACAACCCTTCCATGCGAATCTTCCCCCCTTGCGCCCACTAGCTATCGCACATTGCTTCACTGACCCACGGCTGACAACATGTCGTGTGTGTGCGTGTGTGTGTGTGTCGCGACATGTGCGTTTGCGCCAGACCGTGCGCCTACGCTGTGTTTATGTGTACGTATGTATGTATGTATGCCCCTCCGGCACGCCACGTGAACGCATGTCAGCCCACGCCATGCTATGCAATAGTCTTTTGGATTTTCGCCGGATCCCTTTCCCCGCTGCGTTCAGTCTCTCACTCCCCCTCGTTTGTGGTTCGTCTTTCCCCCTCTTCCCCGGCCCTCTCCTCACCTCCCTCACCTCCCTCACCTCCCCCCTCACCTCCCCCTCCCAGGCGGTGGAGTCCGCGCTGGTGTCCCTGTGCGCGGGTCTGAATGACGCCGCGGTGGTCAGCGAGGGAGAGGTGGAGAGGCTGGTGGAGAAGGAGGCCATGGCGCTGAATGTGGCCATACTGGAAAACAGGTATGCAACCCAATTGCCATGTGGCACGGCAAAGGTTCGCATGCCATATGAGTTTTGATAACCCCGAAGTGATGCAGAGTTGTAGCGCCAGCGCGCGGTGATGACGGGGGGGAAGGGGGGGAGTGGCGGGAGGAGGGTACGTGTGCGGGTGTTGTTGTTGTGCGTTTGTGTGTGTGTGGGGGGGGGAGGGGTTTGGTTGAGAGGCGACGTGTGGATTCGGGGATGTACTGGAGAACGGGAACACGTCCTAACTGACTAACTAACTGCTTAACTAACTATCTGGGTGGCCCTGCGTCCTTCAGTCCCTCCCCCCTTCCCTCCGCCCCACAGCCCGTTGCAGCCAATTTCAATTCAAATGAACGGCGCTATGCGACTCCCTCCCCCTCCTGTTGGAACCGTTGGGCTAGTGACCTCACATCGCTTTGGACGGCAGCAAGCAGCTTGGTACTTTGGATGGCAGTTGGCAGTTAACTCGTTTGCGTTTTGAATTTTGAATTTTAAATTTCCCTCTCTCCCCTCCTTGCCTCCCTGTCCCTAATTTATTCTCTCCTATTTCGCTCTCCACCCCATCCCACCCCCCAACCCCCAACCCCCAACCCCCCGCACCAGACGCGCCTACGCGGATCTGATCACCCGGCTCCAGGTAACCGAGGTGGAGGCGGAGCGCACCCGGCGGGCCGCCTGGCAGGACGGGCTCAGGAGGTGGCGGGTGCTCAGGACGCAACACGCCATCAGAACCTTTGTGGAGCGAATCAGGTCAGTGCTGCAGTCAGTGTGAGAGGGAGAGAGACGTGTCGTGTGAAGTTCGTGTATGGGCACGGAAGTGCGGGAGGGGAGGGGGAGCCGGCGGGGTTGAACGTGTGTGTACGTGTGCATGCGTGCACCTGTGGGAGTATGTGTATGTGTGTGTATGTGTGTGTATGTGTGTGTATGTGTGTGTATGTGTGTGTATGTGTGTGTATGTGTGTGTATGTGTGTGTATGTGTGTGTATGTATGTGTATGTGTGTATGAGTGTGTGGTAGCGGGTGGGTGGTGATAAGCCAAAAAGTCAAACGGCGCTGCCCAGCGAGTGCCTTAGGAGGTACATGGTCACTGTAGGTGGCGGGCCTTAGGAATATCCAACATCATCATAAAGTCGCAACCCCCGTTCTCCCCCGCCCACACCCACTGCGTTGTACTGCACTGGTAACGCGGGGCCCCCCGTACTGCACTGTACTGCATTGTACTGCACAGGAGCACTGAGTTTTCTGAGCCCGCGGAGCGCCTGGCGGCCTTTGCCGCGCTACGTGAGCGGCAGTCCCAGGCGCTGTCGGCGCTGACAGCCCACTGGGGCCGCGCGGGGTCGGTCAGTCCGCCGCACCTGTCCTCGAAGAAGGTGGCCAACTGGAAGGCGGAGGTGGCGGCGTTGGAGGAGGCGTGGGCCAAGGTGCGATCGTTGTCGTGGTACTGCTGCGCCGCAAAACGCCTCTGTCCCTCCCCCCCGAATGCGCTCCTCCGCAACCGCCTTCATGTCAGTAGGTTGTGATGTCAGTACATTGTTCCTGGAGGCAAGGTTTCGGAGCTACGGCCGCACTGTTGCGCGTCGGTGCTTCGGGCCTCAAACAGGTGTCCCTTTGTTTCTTGAAAATCTAATTACCGTGCCCTGCGTTTCCACTTTCCCCGCCAAATAATACACACGCGCATGCGCAAACGGACACGCCCGACAGGAACGGCAGCAGCATTTGGGGGAGATGCGCTCCTCCGAAGACGCTCTGTGTGCGCGAGTGGCCGATCTTGTGGCGGCGTTGCGGGCTGAGGTGGAGGGCTACCAGGGCTACCCCCCCGACCAGCTAGATGAGCTGGTGCGGGAGCAGGCGGGGCTGGCGACGGAGGAGCGCAGGCAGGCGGCCTTGGGGCTGCTGGCGCAGGTTTGGTGGGGGGGGGGAAGAGAGAAGGGGGGGAGAGCGAAAGAGAGAGAAGAGGTTGACGCCTCTTCTTCTCCTCGTGTTTTGGAACTGGGAGACACGTGCTAATCATCCATAACGCATGACATGTAACGCTTAACACCTAAGCCATACATCCAATCGTTCATTCATTTATTTATTTATTAGCACTTGTAATTTTCTTTTTACTTCCGCAGACGGAGGCTTTCCTGGAGCAGCAGGCCGCCCGGTGGGCGGCCGTCAGCGCCGCGCTGGGGGGCTGGCTGGGGAAGCTGTGTGCGATGTACGACGGACACAGGGCCGTAACGGCTACCGACGAGGCCGGTGGGTTCCTTTTCGTCATTTCGTTGGCTCAATCCTCCCCTCCCCCCGGGATAAAGAGGGGGGAGAAGACGCAAGGGACTATACGCAAGAGGCATTCGTGGCGGGTGTTGAGGGGGAGGGGGAGATAGCGCGCTGGCTATCTTAGCGTGTTCAGGATGGGGGGAAGACCAGTTTCAATGAAAGTGGGACAACATTGGGACCCGTGCTCCGTGTGACCGTGTGTGTATGTGTACGAAAGAGGGAGAAAGCTAGCCGCTATTTGGCTGCCACTACTTAGCGGGGTTACCTGGTTCTGCCTGCTGATGACGCGTGTGCGAGTGTGCGAGTGTGTGGTATCGATGTGTTAGTTAGTATGTACCAACCCCAAACTGCCAATTGGAGCAAAGTATGTACCAACCCCAAACTGCCAATTGGAGCAAAGCCTTAACGTAGTAAGTCAACCGTGTGTGTTTTAATGGAAACACCAGGTTGCGACTTTACATCAGGTTGCGACTTTACATCAGGTTGCGACTTTACATCAGGTTGCGACTTTACATCAGGTTGCGACTTTCCCCCCTCCCGCCCACGCGACCTCCTAACCCCGCCCCGTGCCCCCCAACGCCCAGAGGTCCGAGGCGCTCTGAAGCAGTACAGGGAGGCCTTCAATGCCGCGGACGCGGCTCGCGAGGCGGCGCTCGATGCCGCGGTGGCCGCAGTGACCCGTGGGTCGGGAGAGACCCAGTTGGATGCCTGTGTGGCTGAGGCACTCAAGCGCCTGGACGACATTGAGGCGGGGTACAGGTAAGAGGGGGAAAAGTACACCTACAAGAAGTTATCTGTATGTGTATGTCTGTTTTGCACCTTAAAATAAAGGGTCGGCTAGCGACAATGGGGAGGGGGGTTGAGGGGGTTTCCGAAATCAGTGGATCAGTGGTGGATGCATGGCAGGAAGGGTTATGGATTACAGGGAAGGTAAACGATGGGATGTAGGTGGGTGGTGGTTGGCTGGCTGGGTGGGTGAGCGGGTGGGTAGAGGAGGCGGCCCTATCTCCAACACGCCGCGTCCTCTCCTCACTAAGCACCAAACTCCTTTCTCCATCCCTGGATCGCTGGACGATAACCGACGAACGCCGTACAGGAGCTTTCACCGGGAAATGACCTCCCGTGCCCGCGCCTACCCCGGCGCCGTCCGGACCGCCAACGACGCCTACCACGTCAATCTATGCGCCGAGTTGGGGGTCCAGCCACAAATTCGGTTGGCTGGATCCGGATCTAGCAGGAGTGCAGGTACGAGCGCCAACGGTACGCCGGTGCCCACTGTATCCGGAGCTGCGCCGGGAGCGGCGGGGCCGGGGGCGGCGGTTGCAACGGCGGGGACGCCCCCGGCAGCGGAAGTCTCGTTGAACTCCTCTGTAATCACGAAGGTGAGGTCGGGGAGGCGGGGAAGCCCTCGTGGAAGGGGCTTGGTGGTCTGTCTGTCTATCTGTCTATCTGGCTGTGGCGGTATTGGTAGGGCCAGGCAGGCATGGGGGGGGGAGGGAAGGAGAGAGGGGCCCTCTGGTGGACCTCTGAATTCTGATGCACCTTTTTCTCCATGCCAAACGGGCTGGAGTCGCTTCTTCTTCTTCTTTTCATTCTCCTCCTCCATCTCCTTCTCCTCCTCCTCCTCGTCCTTCTCCTGCTCTTTTCTCACCCTCCTCTTCCCCACTGGCGCACACACATGCAAACGCACATTAGAAAGACAACCTGTTGGACCTTTTCACTTTCTTCTTTTGCGGCTGAGCTCTGCAACCCCCCTGCTTCTCTCGCTCTCCCCAAGCCACCTTGTATTCCCCTAGTTCGGAGTTGTCTCTGCCTGTATTGGGGTCCATCTGTCCTATATTTCTTGCTTTCTATTTCGTTGCCATAGGGCCACCTCCTATAGGGCCACTCCCTTTCCCCGCACACATATTCCATCATTCCCGCGTGCCTTACCTCCCGCTTTTACCCCTGCCTCCCTCCTCCCACACACGCGCATGCATAGACACAAGCGCACGTTGGAGTAACCCCAACCTCTTAAGGAGGTGTCGTTTAAAACCTCCTTGTATCTCTTGCGCCAGTGTATCTCGTGCTCGTCTCCTCCGTGCCGAAGTCGCGAATGGTTAGTTGCTTCTTAGCATCTTCCCCCTCGCGTCCCCCTTTTTCCCCGGCCCCAGATCCTCGGCCACATCAAGCTCCCTGACGGCCGCTCCTTTGCACTTATCCAAGACATGCTGCAACTACTGCTAGCACCAGCTCAGGAACAGGAACAACAACAAGAACAACAAGGGCAACAGGAGGAGGTAAAGCAGCAGCAGCAGACCGGGGACGGCGCTGCATCACCAGCGGCAGCGGCAACGGCGGCGGTATCAGCCGGTTCAGCGGCGGCGGCGGCAACGGAGCCCGCGATAGTGGCTGCTGAGCAATCGCCGCCGCCGGTGGCCAGTCCCGTCAGCAGCAGCGGTACGGCTTTGTGCCGTACGCTTGCGTTGCCAAACGACACGTTGCGTCGGGCGATTGAGTCGATTCAGGTACAGCGTCCGGTGTTGTGCGTTACAACACAGTCACAGTGTCCGCACAAGTGCGGAGGGTTCCGCCAAAGCTGAGGGCCCATGGACGGTTCTCCCGCTCCCGTTTTGAGTGCGAAGCGAAAATAACACATCTTCACATTGATATTAGGAAAAGGGTCTTTGATACGGACAGGATTTGAACCTGCGCCCTTACGGATAGGAGCCTAAATCCTACGCCTTAGACCACTCGGCCACCGTACCACATGTTAGTTTTGACTACAATGTTGAAATAACATAATACAACAGCATGTCACAGATCGGTGATCTTCCGTCCCACCCCGCACCACCTTACTCCCCCGCACCACCTTACCCCCTCTCTCTCTACCCCTTTCACATCACAGGACTCCAGCAGCAGCTTGCAACTTTGGACACCGCGTCAGTGGTTTTCCCCTCTCACTTGACTTGGCTTGGCAGCACTATGGTAACCCCCCGCCCCCTGTCCCCTCCCACACCCCTGCTTCAGGCGGGTCTCCTGTCCGACATGATGACCTTCAACCAGCGAACTCTGGAGGCAGCCGACTCCTGGGCGGCTGAGAGGGAGGTGGCGCTAACTCAGGAACTGGACAGCTGGCTGAGACATCACCGGTAGGGGGTGGGGTGGGGAGCGGGGTGAGGGGGTAATGGTGGGAAAGGGAATGGACGGTACACGTCGCGCCGTAGTCTAATAGTCTTAAGCCCTTGCCGCGCATCTTCGCCTTAATCTTAAGACCTAACGTCCTTGCTCTGTTTGAAAGAGTGTCTGTGTATGTGTGCTGTGAAGTGAGAGCAGCTGACTGAGGGGGATCCTGGATCTGAGCGTGTTTCCCTGCCTGCATGTGTGCGTGTGTGCGTGTACGTGTTTTGTGCGTATCTTATATACTCCTGGTTTTCCCCCAACCTCTGCGTTCCCTCTTTTCGTCCCCCTTCTTTCCTTTTCCCCCAACTGCCACAAAACACACCGCGTACATACATACATACATACGTACGTACGTACCTACAATACACACACAGGCCCCGTGCGGGTCGTATCGAGGAGGAGGTCCGCACCGCTCGCAGTGTGGAGCTGGTGGCACAGAGGCGGCGGGTGGAGCTGCACCTCAAGGCACAGAGCAAGGCGGTCAAGGCGCAGGCGGTGAGAGGGGGCCCCCGGTATGGTTGTGGATGTGGGTACGGCGTACGACGTGTACGGGCTGAGGGCCGATTGCGGGCATGCAACGGCGTGCATGAGGAATAGTTACAGTGGTAGTAGTTGCAGTAGTGGTAGTAGTCTTTGTAGGGTAGTTGGCTGGTGGTGACGTTTCCATGTTCCCACACCGCCCCTTAGGTCGTGCATAGGGTTCCCACCCCCATCCGTGCGCCCTCATTCCCCCTTCCATTCCCATTTCCGTATGTCCCCATGCCCCATTTGGCACTTTCCCCACCGCGCCCAGGCCGCGTTCGACGAGGGTCTCCGCGCTTTGGAGACCGAGGTCCGCAAGGGCGTGGCCCGGCTGCGAGCAACGGAGGACTTCCTTGGGCAGTGCCTGAGCAGCAAGTCCATCGGGATACGGCAGAGGGAGGCGGAGGCGCTGAGAGTGCGGCTGGACAAGGTAGGGGAGAGATGGGGGAGGGGGGAAAGAGAGAGAAAGAGAAAGAGAGACGGGGAGGGATGTATAAAGATCGTTGTTGGTCTTGTCAAAAGCTAAAATTACGCTTTATGTTTTAGGGAGTGGGGAAGAGAGGTTGAAAGTGGAGAGAGAGAGAGGGGTTTGGGGTTGGGGATGTGGGCGGTGAGATGACTACTCACCTCCCCCCCATAGTCTGCACCAGTCTGCATGTCGCCCATTCGTCCACGCCAGTTCCTGCCATAATTAAGACCCACTAACTGTCCTAACCGCCACTCCACTCGTCCTAACCGCCACTCCACTCGTCCTAACCGCCACTCCACAGGACCTAACTGCCAAACTATCCGACCTGGCTGAGCGCACCAAGGCCGCCATTTCCAAGATCACGGACGCCAACCGCAAATTCGAGGTGGGGACAGCGACAGCGGCCCATGGGTCGCTGGGCCGTGCAATGGGGAGGGGAAGCTGTACGACTGTAGACATAGCTGCAGTGGGGCCATGGACACCAGTGTGGGCCCATTAAGCTGGGCTAGGCTTTGGATGCATCTGCCTCATTAACAGCGCCAGACGACAGCATGCATGCATTCCTCAGCCATAACCCCCTCTTCATTCGCCGCCTCTCCCCTCCACCTTTTCCACCAACCTCCATCATGGGCTGCCATGCATTGTGATGTGGGCCATTTCTTGTTTAGCTAATATCCGACCGTAGTCCTCATGCATCAGGTGACCTCGCACGCCGCTCTCAACACACGCACGTCAAACCGTGGTCCCATGACTTCCAACCCGCACGTCCTCCTCGTCCTCCTTCGCCTCCTCCTCTCCATCTCCCGCCTCCGTCCTTTTTCTCTCCCGCTTCTTTCCTCCTTCAGACCGACGAGCTGCGCACTTTCGAATCTGGCGGCAAGTACGCGGACGACAACGCGGCGGTCTATCGGCGCAGTCTGGCCGCCATTGACTCTCACCTGCAGCGGGCTGGGGCGGAGCAGATGCAGCGGCTGGAGGCGGCCCGGGAGACTCTGTCAGGAGAGGTGGGGGTGGGTGGGGAGTGGGGTGGGGTGGGGGAATGGTGGGGATGTGGGGGATGGAATGTTGTTTTGGTGGGAGGGTTGGGTTTGGTTTTGGAGGGACTCTCTTGCTTTTTTTCACCTTAACCGTCAATCCTCTTCGCCGTGCAAATGTTCACACTCCGTTTTCTCTCCTATCGCTTTGGACTTCGGGAGCAGTTGTCTCCTGTATTCACCATTTGTAATGCGTAATTACCCTTCCTCCCCTTCCTCCCCCTCCTTCCTCCCATATCCCCACTCCAGGCTAGTTCGGCGCTGGACCACGTCCTATCGCTGGTTCCCAGTCACCTAGAGGACATGCAGCTGATTGAGCGGATGGATGCCTTGGTGCTTGGGGCCAGGAAGAAGGCGGCGGGGGAGCTGGACAGGAACAAGGTATGTGTGTGGGCGCGCGCGTGTGCGTGCATGTGGATGCGGGTGGATGAGTGTTCGTATTAATGAGCTGAGCCGCGGGAAGTAAATGGCGAGGATGCCGTACTGTATGTGTATGTTTAGAAGTACGGGGAGATGCAGACCGTTGTGAACACGAAGCAGACAACCAGGACTGCACCCCTATCCTTTCATTTGTGGGAATGGCGGTAGAACGGTTTTCTCTCTGTGTCTGAATCATTGCAGGCCGCCGCCGCGTCCATCACCACCCAGCTCGAACGTCTCGAGTCGCTGCTAGATGGCCGTAAGGCCCCGACGGCTCGCAACGGGGGCACCAACGCCGCCGCCAACGGCGGTGGAGGCCGCCGGTCACCGTCCGCCTGCACCCGCCCCACGTCCAGATCCGCCTCCCCGCAACCTGGTGTTGCACGGCGGTCGCCATCGGCATCCGCCGCCAGCGCCGGCCTGCCGTCGCAGGCGTCTCGGTCTTCCGTGGCCGCTGCTGGCGGCGGCGCCGCCTCCGCTGACGCTGCCGGCGAGATCCCTGCTGCGCCCCTGGATCGCTGCCGCGCAATCTTGGAGTGCGCGGATTCGTTACGTCAGGCTCTTCTCCGTCAGGCGAAGGTTCTGGACTTCCTCGCCTCCGCTGCCCTGACGACGCCGCCGGTGGATCTGCGGCTTGATGCCGCCGGTGTCGATCCGCCGCCGCCGCCGCTGGGCACCGACGCCGACGCCGCCAGCCGCACGGCGTCGCCTGGGGGACGGCGTCCCAGTGCGCGTCCGGCGGGGACGGCAGCAGCCCCCAAGGGCGGCGCTGCCGCTGCCGCGGCTGCGGCGGCTGCCGCCGCGGCAAAGGACGCGGTGGTGAAGCTGGCGACGGATGTAGAGGGGGTCATCGACGCGTGTAAGAAGGAGACGGAGTCCGTGGCCAAGGCGTACTATGCAGCCAAGGTGGGTCGTTTCATTGGTTGGTTAGTTGGTTTGGTAGTTGGTTTGGTTAGTTGGGGAAAGTTGGCATCTCACGTCTGGGTCGGACTGTTTTTCTCCTGCTCTTCCGTGCAACATCTTGCAGGGGAGGAGGAGCGGGATATCAAATACATGTATTACGGGACGAACGCCTCAGCACGGCGAGTGACAACATAGGGTGGATGTGCATGTTCGTACAGCCCCTATCAAAACGCACGCCTCCAATCGCAGGACAAGGCGCGCCCCATCCGCTACCCCGCCCGCATCCCTGGCACCGTGGAAGAGCTGCTTCGCGGTACGGATGCCGTACTGGAGGGACTGCGTGAGCAGACGCTGTCGTACGTCACCGAGGCGGTCAAGGAGTTGCGCACGCAGGTAAGCTCGTTTGTTAGTTATTCGACAGTTGGTGGACAGCTATATTGTTTTCCGGTCGACAAAAACCTGGAAAGAACCCACAGCGTCAGTTTATCCTGGATTACGAGTTCGTTGTCAAACGGTTGTCAACTCAACCCGTTGCCCTCCAACCGAGTCAATTGAATCATTCGAATCGCCCAGATTCGCTGCGCATCAGTAACCGCTAGTTCGTAACCCGGCGTCATTGATTCAAACCCACCAACCCTCAGCCCCTGCCAAGGTCCCGTCTTACTTATCCTACTTCGGTACTTCTTAGTTTTCTGAACACCCTCCTATCCTCCATTCGGTACGGCAAAAACATACGCATGCACACGCACACGCATGTCCTTACAGAGGCCCGCACATTCCTCACACCCCATGCGCTTTATATTACTCACCATATGTTTTGGAAATGTACCTCCTAGTCGATGTTCCCATTCATTTTTTTCACACGTGTACAAATGCACATACGCACCTACGTACATACGTACGTACATGCTCATACACATGTACTTGTCAACATGCTCAGGCCATTCGCGCCTACCGTTCTATGGAGCGCCTCCCCGCGGTGGCCCTGGCGCTGCTGGCGGAGCACGAAGTGGGTGCCGTAGACGAGGCACACCTGGGTATGGTTTCGGAGCTGGAGACGCGGCGGGGCGCTCTGCTCAAGCTGGTGGATGTGCACCGCAGCAGCCTGCACCCCACCATGGTGATGCCGGCAAGGTAAGGCAGCGGTGTTTAGGGAGTGTGGGTCTATGTGTGTTGGCGGCATGAGCATGTGCGTGTGTGTGGTGGTGGTGGGGTATTCAGCAGGATGAGCGTGTAGGGGGGCGGGTGGGAGGGGCGAGCAAAATTAGCGCGGGAATTTAGGAACTAGGAACGGCACGATTGGGGTTTTACGAGACGGTAGGATAGGGGCACGGTCAAAGTAGGCTGCTGTGTGTTTGGATTGTGCGTACGGATAAGGTGTACGACCAGTAACCGCAGCCAGGGATATCAAGATCAACTGAGTGGTAAGGTCCCTAACGGATCGCGGGTTGCTTATTATATTCCCTTAAATAGCTCCGAACCACCTCTTTGCCATCCCTTATTTTCCCCGGCTGATACCCCGTATCGAATCATAAGGCCCCTTCCTCATCACTGACGCCGACGTCGATGCCGCAGGCGTCCGGAGCTCGCGGCGATCAAGAGCTCCGAAACCGACCGCGCTTCCGCTCACGCCTCCCTGCTCCTGGCGTACGGCACTCAAGCCGTGGAAATGGCGCGCCGCCAGGCGCCCTCCCTGCAGCAGCGCCTCGTACGGCTGGCCACCCAGCTGGCGCAGCTTCTCGACAGCTTCCTCATGCCACAGGATCTGCCGCCGCCAGGTGACGGCGACGCTTGGGTGTACGACCTGCCGCACAAAGACTACAAGCAGCTGCTGCGGCTGGCGTTGGCCCAGGCGGAGGCTGAGACGGCGCCGCCGCCGCCGCCGCCGCCGGAGCCGAAGGGCAAGGCGGCCGCCAAGGGCGCTGCAGCGGCCAAGGCGCCGCCGGCGAAGGCGCCGGGCAAGGGCCAAGAGCCGCCGCCGCCACCGGTGCCAGAGAGGCCGTACGTGCCTGGCACTTGGACACTGCCGGGAGGTGAGTGGGTACGGATACTGGGTCGGGTCGGCATCTCTTCCAGAAGGTCCTGCCCATCTTCCCGCCGTGGGCTTATTTCCCGAGATCTTGCTTTGTCGTACCGGGTCGCGACTTTGTTTCCTTGACCCCACGTTCCGTCACGTTTCCTCACTCCCACTCTCGATGGTAGGCGGAATTGTATACGTACTAGGGTACTACTGTATCGCGTGTTCCGTGTGCCGGGGGTGGCCCGGCTCCCAATGCAGTCTGTCTGTCTGCCTGTCTGTCTGTCGCTGACTGATGTTTTTGCGTCTTTGCCTGCAACGGGTTCCTCTTTGTCCATGTACTGCTGTATCCATATGAAATAAGAAACCCCCGCGGTCCTTTTCTGTGCATCGTTGTCAAATCCTGTTCAGGAAACTTTGACTTGGTCAGCCTGGGTTGGCTGAACGAGGAGGGCATGCCGCCGCACGGTCTGCCGCAAGTTTCGCCGCAGATCCCGCCACCGGAAGGCCAGGCGCCGGTTCAGCAGCAGCAGCAACAACAGACACCGGCGACACCGCCGGCGGCAGCGGCCAAGGGCGGCAAGGCAGCGGCGGCAGCAGCTGCGAAGCGGCCCCCCTCGCCCACCAAAATCGAGGGTAAGTCGGGGGCTCGGCATTCATGGTGGTGTGCAGGAGATTTACAAGCGCAGCTTTTTCAGGTTTGGTTCAGGGTTTTCTTTCCAACCTCGTACGTCCTTCACATCAAATCTGCAGTCGCCAAGAGCAGAGAAACTCCCGGCCCTCTCTGCACGCGCGCATGTTTCCTCCGAGGCACCTGCAATAACCCGGATTGCCTCTGGAGCTGAATGCCCCAGAAACCATGACACCCTGTCAAACACGGGAAACATTGTTCCCTCTTTTCTGATGCAGTGGGAGTGGGTCGGACTCCTTTGGTTCTGGAGCCACCGCCTTTGTCGGCGCTGGACACGCCCTGTCACCGCAGTGTCGTACGAGCCTACCGTGCAGCCATCCAGGTGCGCGTTCAGGGAAAGGCTGGGGAGGCGATTGGAGGAGGTTGGAGGATGAGGGGGGCCTCGAGTTTATGGGACTTTTGTCATGGTACAAGTTTTCCTCTTGCTCGACCCGGAGGATGTTTGTATGGAGCGTTATTGCCCTGACGCGGACCCAGAAACCCCTTACACGCTTTCCCCCTTCCACGCCCATGCCCCTCCGCCATTTCTGGTTTTCCTTCCTTCCTAACCTCCTTCCCCTTTCTCCGGTGCAGCGCGTGGAGGAGGCCCTTCGCACCAAAATGTCAGGTCACCGGCTGCGAGTGGCTAGTTGGGCCAAGGACGAGGAGCTTTGGAGCCGGACATGGGCTCAGTTGGTGGGCCGACTGGAGGGGCTGTGAAGAGCGCGGAGGAGCAGGAAAGGGAAGAGGACTGTAGGAAGAAGAACACCATGAAGGGCAGACGGAGGAGCAGGCGGAGGAGGAGGGGGAGGAGGAGGGGAGACGCAAGGCGCAGGAGGCCAACGGAGGAGCTGGGGTTGGGAGGCGTGGATGGAGCGTGGGCCAGTTTTTGGGCTCGCAGGCTCGGTCGTCCTCATGGGGAGGAGGGGGTTAGTTAGCGACGATGGTTCTTTGCTGCTGCGCTTCCACGCCGTGCCTAGCGATATAGAAGAGGAAGTAGGCGGGAGGAGGAAATCGCAAGCTGTGACCGGGTTGCTTGGAGCTGGGTTGCAGTTTGACCTGATGAAAAGGCTTGAATGGGACACGGAGGCTTAAAACGCGCTCATGTTACGCAGCGGATTACAGGGGCCTTGCGGCGGAACGTAAGTGGGAGAGGAGGGGTTATCAGGACGGAGGTTTGCATGTGCGTGGGAAAAGTGGTTGAGCCGGGGTACGGCTTCCAGTGCAAAGATGCTGTACATCGTTTATCCTGGATAGGTCTGTAGCTGGGACGGTTCCTTGGACGATATGAGCATGCTTTGATTCGCCTGCCGTGCGCGGGCGCGCTGTTACCTCTCGTGACATGTAGCATGCCGAAGCCAAAGGGAGGGTAGGGGATCATACGCTGATAGGCACTTTTAAACTGAGGAAATTACCACCTACAAGATTGGCTTAACAAAGTAGATGGAACCTGGCACGCGACAGTTGGATAGGGGCACCAACAGCTCGTGGCTTGCGGAAACAAATCAAACTATTGTTATGAAGTGATCAACGATATAAAGCCAATACTTATGTGATAGTCAAACTCGGGCGCATGGAATCCCCACTGCATGTGAGCCCATTCTACCTGTCCCGCAATCCTCGACACCGTATTACGTTAATACATCGTTATCAATTGCGGGCATCAAAGTTAGACCCTTGGCTTTTATCAGAAAACACTGTAATAAAAACTCAGGGGAACGCAGCTGGTCACAAGGATTGATAGAAATGGCAGAGGCTAACGGCAGCAGCAAGCCGGTGCGTGGTTACCCTAGCATATGGTATTTAAGTATCAAATTAAAGTTTGCTGTTCACATGTTCTCGTGCGCACGGTATCGAAGCTGATCTTGGATACAAACGAGCTTATTGCGTGGGTACGCACTCGCGCAGGTTTTCCTGATTTTTGGCAAGTCGGGATGGATTGGTGGCCTTCTCCAAGAGGTGCTGAAGGAGCAGGGAGCGGAATTCCACCTCGCCGATGCAAGGCTGGTGCGCATGCGGCGCGCGTACCCAGAAACCGTGCGATGAAAGCGTTGTTCACCTCCCCCAATGCGACACTAGGTATTGTGTAGGTGTACTCATGGTGGAAACGCTAAGCGCACTGTCTGACAGAGACCCCTTCTCTAGTTGCAACGGGGGTTTGTCGACTGTGATGTGCCCCTATTCGCAGGAGGACCGTGCGGCAATCCTTGCGGACATCGAAAAGGTGGGTCTCGCATACGCACCACGTATACGCACCAGGTTCGTCCCTCAGGTGTCAGAATGGCGGTTTCCTTGTGAACCGTGTATGTATCTAGTCCTAACCCCTTCAAGGTTCCGGGCCGTACCTCCCATAATCCATTCGTAGTGAGCTTGTTGTCATCACCCACATTTGCTTCCTTTCCGCAGTACAAGCCAACCCATGTGCTGAGCGCGGCTGGTGTTACTGGGCGGCCCAATGTGTAAGTCGAGGAAGGGTTCCTGTTGTGGAGTCGGGGGCATCACGCGAGCGTGGGCCACGTCAGATGGCACGGGACCGTTGTACGCAAAGGCTTTGAAGGCGCCTGCTCCAAAGGGGCCGGCCCGGCTGTCGCAGCCGGGTGGAGGCGCATGCTATTGGCTTTGCTTTCATGCTCGTGGGTGGACGGCGTAATCTCCCATTAGTATATGATCTGCCCTCTCTTAGTGCGTTCCGCTGAGTGGGACTATTTAATGGTAATTGTATGGCATGGAGGGTGGCATGCTTCCATAAACCGTTCTGGATTGATGCCCCTTTCTCTTTCTCGCCTGAGGTACCCTTCCGTTTTTTAAACGTCCATGCAATCGTGCTGCTGCTGCCATCGCCGCCTCCCATCGCCTGCAGCGACTGGTGCGAATCGCACAAGGTTGAGACGATTCGTGCCAACGTCGTCGGCTGCCTCAACCTTGCGGATGTGTGCAATTCGCACGGTCTGCACATGACGTACTACGGCACCGGGTGCATTTTCCACTACGACGAAGACTTCCCGGTGAACAGTGGCAAGGGCTTCAAGGAGAGCGACAAGCCCAACTTCACAGGGTCATACTACTCTTACACCAAGGTACGGGAGCCGCCTTGGTAGCGACGGCATCCGGTTGCTGGTGCCCGTATATGGGCGAGGCTGGAGGGCTTTCGGTCTAGTTCAGACCTGGAGGGATTGATTTGGTTTTCATGAGAGGCCTCCGCTACAAAGGAAGCACCTGCAAGCTATAAAAAAATAGTCTTTGTGGCGCGGGCGCACTAACCCGGGGGCGGAGGGTTGTATTGCTGTCAGCGAAGGGAAACGTGGTGCACGTCGCGGGGAGCCGGACATGGTATTCTGTCAGGATTCAAGGCGATCCAGGAGCACGATTAACCTCTTGCGTGCTTGGAGCCTCCAGAGCAAACTTACCTCCCTCCTGTTGGAGCGTGTGGGCGATTCGTGTCTGGTTTCCGTCTACCCGCCGCATAGATTTTCAACTCAGTTCAAAAATTGGGTTTGTGTTCAATCCAACCCAAACCCTCAACCACAACCCAAACCACTTCCCAGGCAATTGTGGAGAGCCTGTTGAAGGAGTACCCCAACGTCCTCACCCTGCGTGTTCGCATGCCCATCGTGCCCGATCTAACCTACCCTCGGAACTTCATCACAAAGATTATCAAATACGACAAGGTACGACCTTTGAACGTGGCCTCCTGGACCGGTTTCCGCATGGCGGTTTTGTTGAATACACAGACAGTGTGTGGGCGGGTGTATCTTTCTGAAGCCTTTTCCGGCCGCTGCTGTTACGTCTGGGTAGGCAACCCTAGCTAAGGGGCCCAGCGTGACATCCGATGCATCTGGCCGTACCAAAGCTTGGTTGCGAGCTAACCTTTGGGCTGCTGGCAAGTGCTTCGGACTGACTGACGGCGTTGTGCGCGGTTTTGCACCTTTTCGCTCGTTTGCCCCTTTTGCGTGTGAAGTTCACGTGTTTCGATTATGATGCATCTGAAGCTGAATTTTTAACGCTTTATAGGCCTTAGGCCTATGGTCTGGGCAAACCGCTGGTCTGCGTCACAATTCATCAGGACTATTTCTTTGCGCAGGTCATCAACATCCCCAACTCGATGACTGTGCTTCCAGAGCTGCTGCCGATGTCTATTGAGATGGTGAGAAGGGGTCCTCTTTGTTGGCAGGAAAACGAGTGGAACGAGCAGTCCCCTTGGGAGTCCACCTTGGAAATGGGTTGCGGAACAAGTATGTTGAGAAAAGAGTTATGTACGGGGGACCTCCCAGGGTGTGGAATCCAGAAGATGACCCCCTGCGAAGTAGGCCCCGGCAAGTGACGCAGTTCAGTTCTGGGGAGTGGGGTGGTTGGGGGAGGGGCCGACTGCCGTCAGCGAAAGATAACGAGAGAGCAGCTTGATAGAGCTACAGAAGTGGGGCTAATGGGAGGGGGTTGCCTCAGTCCTAGCAAAGCAATCCTTATATGCTTCAAAAGTTGAGTCTGTTGCTGCCTGTTTGGCCCCCCTCATCTCCTCGTCCCCTGCTCCCGTGGTAATCCTCAAACAGGCGAAGCGCGGACTAACAGGCATCATGAACTTCACGAACCCTGGAGCCATCAGCCATAACGAGGTGAGGCTCTTGACCCGCCACCACAATGCCACGCTAGCAGCCCTGGAGCCGTGAGCCAGTTTGCCAGCACTGGCTTCTGGACTCGCGCATGCTGGGTCGGCTGACATGTCCATCATGTCCGGAAGCGAGATGCAAACACGTCCTTTTGCTGCATCGTCGCGGATGCAAGACGCACAGCCTCCACGCCTTCTCAACACCGTGCGGTAAACCGATGCGCGCAGATCTTGGAGCTGTACAAGGAGTACATCGACCCCGAGTTTACATGGGCCAACTTTACTGTGGAAGAGCAGGCCAAGGTCATCGTTGCACCGCGCTCTAACAACCTTTTGGACACGGCGCGGGTGGGTTGTGGCTACGTTTTTTCGATTTTGATTGTGGCTGCAGACCGTGCATCAGGATTTTAAAGGGACTGTGGTTATTGGAGCAGCTTGTATGTGTAGGCAGTGCCCCGGGGCAGGCCCCCATGGTCCCTATCCCCTATCAGCTGCGATTTCGCATTCGGCGTATCTAATCCATACTTATCCGCTTGCTGTCCCCGCGTCAACTCGGTCCATCCTGGCAGATTCAAGGCGAGTTTCCGGAGATCCTGCCGATTCGCGAGTCGCTCATCAAGTATGTCTTCGAGCCGGCGGCACAGAAGGTGACCAAGACTTTTTGCTGTGTTGTGCCTGGCCGCAGCTTAACCTATTGATGGTGTTTAATTTCTAGGTTCAGCCAAAGATGCGTGTGTCCAGGTTCACTCTTATCCATGTTGTGGATATTTGTGGCCCGTAGTTCCTTATCCGTTCGTCTGTTATACTGCTCCTGCCCCTGTATCCGATGCCTGCAGAAGGAGGAGGTGTGCAAGGCGGTTCGCGAGATGCGCGGCCGGTAATACAACTGTAGTGAGGCACGAGATGGTGCACTTGCATCCGTCGTTTAATACCAGTCGAGGACTGCCGGATATGGCTACGGACTCTCTGGCTACATTCAAGTGCGGCCTTGCGTCTGCATCGCCATTTGCCATCGCTGGACCCCATCCCGGCGCCTCTCTGTCCAAGCTTCTTCTTGTACCCAAGTGGCCAAAGCTTTGGTGTTCATGTCATTTTGCGGCGTGCGTGTCTGCTAGGAGAAACGTCCTTGGCTGTGCATGGCTTTCTACTCTCCCTGCTGCCGAGCGTGCGATATGGAAGATATTGTTGGTGTGACTTGTAAACGCAGCGGTGTATGGGCGTGTTGTTATAAGCGTGCGCGAAGCATTGAGCTAATGAAGAAGCTGATTTTGAGGGTCGTGGCCATACGGGGTTAGGCCATGGGTTTTGGGAAGGTGGAATGTGTCGACAGTCTACAGTTAAGTCTACAGTGAAGGGGTATGGTAAATCCTAACCTACCCCCAAACTGATGTTTTCGTTTCGGGTCCAGAGGTGCCTTTGTCAGAGGACAGGATGTTGCGATATGGAATGTCAATATAATCCTGCTCCTCACTATGGGACCTTGTCATATGCTAGTTGAAATGCAGGAACCATGCTCGGGGACCAGTGCACAATTAACCTGGTACCATATGTAAGCAGGTGACACCTGTTTTCCAAGGGTTCCAATTTTACATGCGGTGAGCGTTTTCCTTTCCGGACCAGGGTGTGGTCGCATGTCGTCATGCTGTACGGCGCTTTTGCCCGCCTGTAAGTCACACTTGAATAACTACGGAGACGGTTGTCATCAGGATGCCAATAGACCCTGCATCAGCTCACATAACTAATGCTTATCAAATTACCTTTTCGCATACTGGACGGAAGCATCACAAGGAACGTAAAAGACAATGGGACTTATGTGATAAGGATGAGGAGCAAGACGGCTGTTCTTATGCTTTTGTTGCTGTGGCGCACAAGGGTCACACCACCCTACACCTTATGGGGAAATGGCGGGAACTTATGCGTTCCACGAAAACTAACACACCTTCGTGCAGCGGCACCGCAGGCCAATATTCATACGTTGCGTTATTTTTGCTCTAGCGACCTCACCAACCCATCCTGACCCCTGGGTCACAGTCCAATTTTAATTATTGCGTTGAGATGTGTTTTATAGAGTCCCACTCGACGCATCCAGATGCATTAAGAACGTGGGCTATAATTTCCTACAGCCAAAGCACATTAAGAAGACAGTAAAGATGACCGAATTACTCACATTGTGGCTATCTACGCGCTTTGAGCCCAGCCTCAGGTTTGCAACAGTTGATCTCTTCACGAAACCCTGCTCATGTCAGGATATCGCCGGGGCCGCGTGCATGACTTGGGTTGTCGTCAAACTCACCGGCTGAGAGGGTACAGTCGTCCAGTGTTCTTATGGAATTACACGGTTACTTACGTCTATCTGCAAGCAGTCTTCTACAACCCTGCTCATATGATTTGGGTGGGCTTCTAAAAACTTTGGCTCATGGCCTGTTTCGGAGCCGAAGTTTTGGTTCAAGCATGCTGTCTCGAAGTCCAGTATAGCCTGCTACACATAAGTTCTTTCACATTATACATGGATTAGGAGGGAATAGGGTCTATCCTTTAGTGTTGAAGACCGACTGAGCAACGCAACTGAGTAGCCGCAAACATGAAGCCAGCTGAGAAAGTAGTAGCCTACTTTTATGATGACGATATTGGCAACTATTGTTACGGTGGTGGCAATCCTATGCGACCGCACAGAGCGCGTATGTGCTACACGCTGGTTGACAGTTATGGGCTCACCAAGAAGATGATGGTTCAGCGACCGCGCGCCAGAGAGTTTGAGGAGCTAACGCAGTTCCATGCAGACGGTATGCTACGTGTAAACCGGCTTGAGGCATGCTTGCGCGTAGACTGCCGGGACTGCGGCGTTGCTAGGGGCATTCTCGCCGGCCCTTATTCCTTATCAGGACCTGGCCTCATATAGGGGACGCCTAATAAACCAACCTGTTCTAAGGGCTTATCTGTGCTTAAAGGCCGCCAACCAGCTCCCCTCCCGCCCACTGACCCAGATTACATCAACTTTCTGCGGGGAGTTACACCGAATATGGTTGACGAGAACATGACGCAGCTTCGACGCTTTAACATGGGCATAGCTGGAGAAGCTGACTGCCCGGTCTTCGACGGGCTGTACGAGTACTGTCAGGTGAGTTGAGGAGGAACTGTTTTGCGTCTTCGGGACACTAGCGGGCACGGTGTTCAGCTCGTAACAATTTGTGCAGGTGTACGCTGGGGGATCAGTTGATGGAGCTGCTCAACTGGCGAGCGGCGCCGCGGAAATCTCATTCAACTGGTCCGGTAGGTGCATGCAGGCTGGTCAGAGCTCTGTTTAAGGAGGCTGTGCGTTCAATCAGGTCACCCGAATTTCCAGCAGTTAAGGTCCATAGTTATATGGTGATCCTTGAGAGCGTGCTTTCGTTTCTCAGAGACCCATGCGCACAGGGCATGTCCGCCAAGCGGCAGCTGCAGCAGCGATCACCACAACGCACTATCCTCCCGCTTCCCTCGTGCGATGTTCTCATTATGGGCAGCGTTAAGAGGTTTTGTTTCCCACAGATGCGCCAGATTTTCAGCACCCAAGCCCTGACCCCTCCTTGTCTCGACAAGTCGTCCTGCACCATTAGGCCATGGCACCACACGCCGAAATGGAGTTTGCGTTCTGCGGCTCGACCCGTCGCTCTTGCCACACCCTCCTATACGTTTGTTAACACACACAACATATGCCATGTCAGACTTAGCGGTCGTAGAATCAAGCGCTCCCGCCTGCAGTTTCCCACAGGTGGTGATTCACATGTGGCCCTGACCCACCAGCCGTGTCCGTTGCGGTCTTTTCATAACCCTTGGTCCCGGCCGGCCTGCTGCTTCCACACAGTAAACAACTGACACGTCGATCAACCTGTCGGTACTTGTTAACGTGCACCGGTTGGTTTCCCATCTTCCACATTTTCGCATGTTCTTACCCTCCTGGGGGCAACTCCTAATTCAACTGCCGCAGGTGGTATGCACCACGCCAAGAAGGCGGAGGCATCGGGGTTCTGCTATGTGAATGACATCGTCATGGCTATCCTCGAGCTACTCAAGGTGGGCGTCGTGTGCGCCCATGCGCTGCACGGGCTTTGAATCAAACAAGGGGAAGAGGGATGGGAAACCGTACAGAGTAAGAGGGGCTCAGGGAAGGGGCGGCTAGGCAGAACAAGGCCGGGCCCCGACGTTACCTAAGCGCGAAAGGCTTGGCTAGGCCTGAGGGAGGGCGAGGAAAATTGGGGATGAGGAAGAATGACTGGGTCTGTCTGAGGGGAGACCGATGTGCGTGCAGGGCTCCGAACGAGGGAGGGTGCGAGCGGTGAAGGGAGGGAGGGAGGGAGAGAAGGGTCAGAGCAAGGGGCAGGTAGTGGCCTGTGTGGTGGCGCCGTTGCCATGCGGCAATCGCTGTCCTCGGGACACTCGAGGAGACCGGCAGGGTGTCAGGCTGTGCGGATAATGACGCGGATGATGGCCAGCATGTTAAAATGCAACTCCCAGTCACGGGCCGATCTCCCTATTGCGGTCCTGGCATACGGCCAATTTTTCGTTGTGAAGTTCGTCCAAAGTTCGCCACTGCTTTTTTCATAGCTTCCATGGAGCAGTGATGGGGGCGCAGTGCCGGCTTTTTTGGCGCACTTAAATTAGCCGTACTCTTGTCGCACTCACTGCGGACGACCCGATCCCCGGTGCAACCGCAGACGTATGCGCGCGTCCTTTATGTTGACATTGACATCCACCACGGGGATGGCGTGGAGGAGGCGTTTTACCTAACTGACCGAGTAATGACGGTGAGACGAGAGGCGCTACAACTCGAGGGAGGGTTGGTTTAAGAAAAAGATAAAAAAAGACAAATGAATCTAGGGGTGGGGTGGGGTAAAGGGAGCACAGGGGCGGTCGTGGGGTGATGGCGATGTTTGCTGCTCGCTTGCGGGGGTTATGGGCACGTGCCGTAACGACTATCCAAGGGACGTAGGAGGGGCAGATAGCCAACTGAGTTAAGTGGGGAATGCCGACTGCAAGGATGGGGTGCTAGCCACGCTGCAGCAGTTGCTTCACCCTGGGCTTCGGATTTCTGGTCTGACAGGTTCTGGCGCTGTGTACCCACAGGTGTCGTTCCATAAGTACGGCGAGTTCTTCCCTGGTACTGGCGCGCTGGATGACATTGGGTACGGCAAGGGGAAGTACTACACGGTTAACGTGCCGCTAAAGGACGGCATGGACGATGACTCGTACCGGCTGGTGTATGAACCTATCATGCAGAAGGTAACATGTTGAGCTCTGCATGGCTTGGTGCGGGTGGTGTAGGGGTTCGAGGGGGGTTAAGGAAGCGATGAAGGGGATCCAACCGCGCACATTGGAATTAGGGAACGGCAGCAGTGTAAGGGATCGCGGGCTGTTTGCTCAAGGAAGGAAGCGCAACATCGCTGAGTAATATGAGCGCCCGTTCTAACATCAGCCCTTGAGCTTTGGTGCAGCAATGGTCTGCCCTTGCTTAGCATGGCGCAACCCCAGCCGCTGACTCGGCATTGGCGTACCCCTGTACCCTCAGTCGCATCATTGCCGAACCGCCGAACCTGCAGTCCGCTTTTTAGCCCTTGACCCTTTTTCAAACTTTCACATCCCGTCATTCCGCCCCCTCACTTCCATTCCTCCCGTCCGCTAGGTGATGGAGATGTACCAGCCGGGCGCCATTGTGATGTGCTGCGGGGCCGACTCGCTGTCGGGTGACCGCCTGGGCTGTTTCAACCTGTCACTGGAGGGCCACAGCAACTGCCTGGAGTTCCTGGCGAAGTGGGTGATTGGGGTGCTGGGTGGGCTCCGGGAAGAGCTGAGAGGTGTGTGGGGGCCGGGCGTGTTGAGCACATGTATAAGATACAAACGTGATGCAGGCAGTTCAAAAAGGGGAGAAGTTGGAGCGAGGCCAGGCAGGAATGGACCCAGGTCGTGGCGGCGACCGAAGGCAGCGGCCACCAGATACCGTCTTTCCCTTCCCCTTCTGTCCTTCTGCCGGTTTCGCTACTGCTTGGTACCACGGCTTTTCCACCGCCGTTGTCGTTGTAAATGCGCTGATGTTTGCGTTTGGATACATGGTTTTTTTACCTCTTTTTGACTCCAACCCAAATCAGGTTCAATGTGCCCATGGTGATCCTGGGTGGCGGCGGCTACACCCTGCGAAACGTGGCTCGGTGCTGGTGCTACGAGACGGGTCGGATGATGAACATTGACCTCCCGGATGGGTGAGTGGGCGAAGTGGTAGGGGGTTAGGCGAGTGACTGCACTTGGGTTGACACACGAAAGTGTGGGTGAGTGGCTGGGTTGGTGGGTAGATGTAATACTGTATAAATGTCCCGTAGTTCAACAAATTTTGCATATGTCTCCCAAGCTGGCGTCTTCTGGCCGTCCGTGTCACCCATTGTTGCCTTACGGCTCCTTCCGCTCCTTCCGGCTTCATACTTGAACTTGTTGCTGCCCCTGGTGGCACCCCGGACGGGATGTCGCTGTTGCTCCGCAGGCTTCCTGAAAAGGCCCTGGATGACTTCAACATGTAAGAGGGGTCTGGGGAATCTAAATTGGGGGTGGGGAAGACAGGTTGGCGGGAAGGTGTTTTCGTGGAAGATGATCTCTCCGTGTGTGCCTTTCCCCGAGCAAGGTAAAGCACCGCATCACACAACCTCGTTAGACTGCCCGTCTCCCCCCGTTCCACCACCAAGCTGCCACACCACACCCCGGGGTGATGTTCCCCGCACGTCTTGCTCTTGGCTGGTCGAATCCCCCCCATCCACTCACCCCGTCATTGCTTTGAACTCTAGCAGTCTGCAACAACAATCGGACGCCCGGTAATTGTTTTCCCTTCACGTGACGGGTCCCTTCCCGTCCCCTGTCCCCCTCCCCCGCAGGTATCTAGACACCCAACGGCTGCGTATCGCTGTGTCCAACATGAAGAACGCCAATGAGCGGCAAGAGCTGGAGCAGATCAAGGTGGGTGGAGCAGGGCAGGCGGGGCGCGGAGGTGTGGGGTTGGGCAGCGTGGAGATCGGAACTCCGGCCTTCCGTAGCCGTACGGATCCTTCTTACCGTGCAATCTCTTTAGCCCTATCTTGCCCTCGTATCTCCATCTCCCTCTCTCTCTCACTCCCCACCTCTCTTGCATTCCTTTTCACCATTTTCAGTTTCCCCTCCCCTCTCGGTTCTGTCCGCTCCCGCCAAAAATCCCGTTTGGTTGTTCTTTTCCTTTTCGTCTGCTCCTCAGACCGCTGTGTTGGAGCACCTGAGCCACCTGCCGCCAGTACCCAGCGCCCAGATGGCCTATGTGCCGCCCCGCATGGGGAGGGTGAAGGCGGAGGAGGGGCTTCCGGAGGAGGATCCGGACGTGCGAGGGGGCGGCCAGGCGCACACGGACGCTCGCAGGTGGGGAAAGGGCTGGGTGTAGGGTGATATGAGGGATGTCGCGGGAAATCGGTTTGGGATGATGTTGTCGGAACGCACGAACGGGGGACGCCGGAGGTCCTAGTGTAGTGAGCGAAGGCTTCAGACGCGGAGCAGCCCAGGTAGGCAGCTGGAGGCTGGTGGATGGAATGGTAACCGAGGGGGACCTCTAGTAGGAGTCCTCGTCGTCGGGTGTGTACGTTGGGTTTGTGTGGATACGGAGCATGAGTAGATGGTGTGACGGGCCTGTCCTGGCCTCGAGACACTGCCTTCCCACCACTCTTTTATATGTCCAATATTGCAGCAGCAATAATAACAACAGCAACAGCTTACTGATCCCTTGCATTGCGCGCACGTCCCCTCTTCCCCGTCCTTCCTCTCTTTCTCTGGATGCGGCCTACCGTGGCTGGCGGACGGTTTGGCGGGTCTGGATGCTGGTGGAGCAGGGTCCGTGAGGGTGATGAGAGCGACGGCGAGGAGGGCAGCGGCCGGGGGGGCTTTGGAGACGACCCTTCGTCGCTGCATGGGGGAAGGCTGTTCCGCAGGTTTCCTGCGGAGGGGGCCACCGCCACCGCCGGGGCCGCTGGTGCTGCGGGAGGAGGAGGAGGGGGTAGCCGGGGTGCGGACCAGGTGTGTGTGTGGCGGGGTTGGGTGGAAACATGGGTATGCGGTGCCGTTCCGCTGCCGCCGACTTCAGCATAGGTGCCAATGCCGTCCCCGCCCTTGCCCTGCTGTATGCGCCGTTTTCCAGCTGACTCCTTCGTTCAATCACCGCATATTATCACTCCATCCTCCTACCAGTCCTTCTGTGGTCTTGCCTTGGCCATTTGCGTTTCGGTTCTGATCCGGAACTACTTCCGGGTCTACTTCCGTCTTTTCCTTTCCACCACTAACCCCAGAGCCCCCCCTCGTCCCGGTGGTCATCTGCAGTCGGAGGACATGCAGGGCGTTCAGATTCAGGCGCAGGCTCAGGCTCAAACCCAAGTTCAGGCACAGCCGCAAGCTCAGGCGCAGGAGGCCGCAGCGGCCGCGGGTCCGATCATGGATGCCGGGGTGCGGCCGCCGCCAGGCACGGGCGGTGGCGGCGGTGCTGCCGCCGTCGGCCCTGCTGCGCCACCTCCGGCGCCCGCACCACCGGCCCCGCAGCGACCGGAAGTAAGCCCCCACGTGGACATGGTCGCCCTGACTCGGTCACAGCAGGCGGCAGTGGCGGCGGCGGTGGCGGCGGCGGACCCGAGCACGCGACTGGCTGTAGTACAGCAGCTGGTCGCCAATGCGGCGGCTGTGCAACAGCAGCAATATCAGCAGCAGCTAGCGGCACGAGTTGTAAGTCTAGGGCAGGTATTGGGCGGTGGGTGGTGCGTCTCACTTCCATTTCCACATACACGAGTAGGTTCGGCACCTCACTTCTTTGAAGGACAGCAAATCCAACTGAGGAAAGTCGGAACACAAGCCAGGCGATAGGGGTAAACGCACGTAATGAATATGTGAGTGGTCAGTCAGTAGCGGCCTCTGCTTGATGCCTTTTATGCCCGGCCCTTCTTGTCCCTTTTGTCCGCGCGTCGTCATGTTCGCACGTGCGCGTCCCTTCTGCAAAAGGATGTCAAGATGGAAGGCGGTGGTGGCACTGTCGGCTACGCAGCTGCTGCCAACGGCGGCTTTGCCGGGTTCGCCAACGACGCCGCAGCCGCCGCGGCCGCAACCCGTCTGCAGGCCGGCGAGGGCGTTGTGGCTGACGGGCAGCAGGCGGCCGCGGCTGCCGCGGCCGCCGTGGCAGCGGCGGCAGCAGCCGCAGCGAGCCGCGGCGTGAGGCTACCCTCGGGGACTATGGGCTTGCCGGGAGGGTACGGCAGCGCTCCGACGGGCAACGACGGGCACGGGCCTTACGACCAGTACTGAGGGTACGGCAACGCGTATACGGAACTCCCGGCGCCGGACCGCTTCCCACGTGATGATTTGCCGCGAGAAAGCGCCGCCCGGCAGAGCCGCCTTTAGGCTTTGCCTACCGCGATGGCTGTGTGTCATTGTGGTCGGCTGGGCAGCTTTGAGCTTCCGGCGGGTTCCTAAGTTCGCTCCAAGGAAGGAGGGTATCTGTTGCCTCCCGCGCCTCTCCTTTGCTGTGCCTCAGTTTGGAAATTTGGACGCACGGGGTGGGGCTTGGGGGGTTTTACGTGATTGCCTTGTCGCTGCTTGGGAGAGGAGTCGGGCGCGCATGGGGGTCTCACCTGGCCATTGGTAGCCCGCCCTACTGCGCCAAGGCGCCTACCATCGAAGGCTCTTACCATCGGTGACTGTCTGTCAGTTAGGTGGTGAAGCAAGTACAGGTGACTTAGCCGGTCTGTGGGCGACACGATCATGGCATTGGGAAGGGCGGCAACTTCCTAATGGACATGCGGCTGGGGAGGACGGAAAGAAGACCTGAGACGCAGGTTCCGCGCCCGGTGCCTGGTGCCCGATGGAGGAGGGGCCACACGGCAACAATTTTGTCTGCTGCGGTATTACTGTGCGGATGGGGAAGGGTTGGCGTTCCGGAAGTGGGGTTGTTTTGAGAGGACGGGACGTAGGGGTTCCGTCCTCTCACCTTCCAAGACAAGGACGTAGTGCAGTAAGGTGATGTGTGACATGTGGCTTAGCTGTTGTTTTGACGTCATGTGGTTGAATCGCGGTATCGAGCAATAAGTTACGTTGCTTTGGGGTTACAGCGGCCAAGTGGGTTGTTGGGGCCTTATGTGGGGTGTGGGCACTTGACTGTTGTAACGGCGGGGTCAAGCATGTACGACCAACGAGCATCGTCACGGAATAACGTCAACTGAGGACACGCTTGTGGAGGGGGCGGGTGGGGGCTGGGAGGGGACACAGTTCGAGCTGTCGGGACAACTTACTGGGGAAGGGAGTGGACGATGGCGCCCACTTTTTTTACTGCTAGCCGGAATGATGGTGGTTTCTTTGACCGATGTTTTGAAGGGCGTTGGCATTGCATTCGCTCCTGTGGTAGCGGAGTGAGCACGGTTGTTAGCTAATGAGCTAATTGATTTCCTGGTGTGGGTGGCGGTGCGCCTTGTCCCGTAACCTGCTCTGTGTCAGCATCTCAGATCCGGAAGTACTTCATTTCGTGAGACCGCATTGTTGACAGATATAACCTTCCGGACGGGACGGGAATCATCGCGGTGCAGAAAACGGGACAAGTTATTACAGCTTGTTTGCTTTCCGCAACCCGTTGGTGTATATCGACGGTCCTTAAAGCGTCTCGTCTACTTTCGGATTCTCACCGGGACTGCTGCGCCGCGTCTGACAAGCCATCGCCAATGCCGAAATGATGAACAGGCGATCGAATCTGGCTCGATAAGATGGAAAGCGGGCTTTGTTCGGAACTGGGTATGCAAGAAATTGGTTTGATGCTTGCGTCGCGGATACTTAGTGTTGCCGTTGCTGTCGCTCTGTTGCAATTGCCCCTCGCCGTCTGACTGGCGCCGTGTGCTAAGTGTGAGGGTATGTCCATGCTCAAAGACTTTGTTTGCCTAGTCGAGGTTGTGTGGAAACGCGCAGTGTTGCGTGGACGGAAACCTGTGCGTGACGGGGCCTGGTGGCAAGGGGGGCTGATGCACATCTGGTCCTGTGGTGTCATTACCATGGAGTGTTCGTGAAGGTATCGGCGTTGATTTACGCTGGCCATGAGTAAATGCGATGGACGTGTTTCTATAAGAAGCTTTGTGCTTGGTTACTTGTCATCTTTGCTAAGTTGGTGTTGGGTTGTAAGAGCTGCTGCAGTAATGGTCAGGTCCCCTGGGTCGTCCCGATCCCGAGCCGCAAGGAATGCAAGTCCAGTTTATGTGAAGGAAAGAAGACATCGCAGAAAAGTCAAATCCATCCTTTTTGGTAACGACGTCTTCTTCAGGGTTCTCTCGGACTTTGAATCTTCGCTTGACGAACAAGAATAGACATATAGATAGATACGTAAAGCCCATAAGCATTGTATGAAGTAAGATCATTCTTACCACTTGTGTGGCTGCAATCACTTTGTTCAAAACTCACCAATTGACCCAACTTCAAGTTTCTTGAAGAAACCTGAGCGATAACATTCTTCACAGTAATCTTCATAACATTCTTTCCAAAAGTTCTCTGATGCAAGATGCGAAGCCATCGAAGCTGCTCCGGTTGTCAGTCTTGGTGTCGAGACATCCTCACTCCTACGAGGACGCCCGCGCATACCACGGCCAGCGCTGCCCGACACCAATGGCGTCCCCAGCCCTCCACCGGCCCCACCCAAAACCCCGCACGCAACCGCAGTGACCCATCCCACATGCGGGCCAGTTGGGCCTCTGCTATAACCGCGTGTCGAGGCGACAGCCACAGCAGCACTGTTGCCAGCAATGACCCCAGTGGCCCAGGGCGCCATGGCAGCCGCGATATTGAGCTCGTCACGCAGGTCAGCCTTGACCGCTGGCCCCGCTTCGCCCAGCAGGCCCTGGCCTGGGATGGCCCCGTCTCCGTTGCTGTGTATCTGCCATGTCCCCCTGACCACCCGCTAGCCGGGGCTTACCACGACCACCTGCGCGCGCTGGTGGATATCCTCAGAGCGCAGCTGGTGCGAACTGAAGAGCCTTCCGGCGGTGATACGGCGGGAGAGGAAGGGGGTTCGACGGCTCCTTCGCCGCCACCGCACCGGCGGGTTCTGACGGTGTCAGTGCTCCACGCGTGGCACTTCGCACGCGAGGGGGCGCTGGTGCTACCTGGTGTCGTACCGCCACCGTCAGTGCCGTTGCTGACCGATGAAAAGCGTGGAGAGAAAGGCGAGATGTTTTATGAGCACTTGTACCCGATAAACGCATTGCGCAACGCTGCGCTTCAAGCCGCCACCAGTAGTCACGTGTGGCTGGTGGATGGAGACTTCATCCCTAGCCGGGGCCTGCGGGGGGAACTGCTACAGCTGGCTGGGGCATCGTGCCATACTGGCAGTAACACTAGCTCCGGCAGCAGCGCTAGCACTAGCAGTTGGGGACGCAGTTTGCTGGAACTGTCGGACATGTACCCGCGGCCGGTGATGTGGGTGGTGCCGGCATTCGAGCTAAGAGGTTCTCCAGCAACGAGAGCTGACGCCGCCGCTGTGGCACTGACGCCAGCCGAAGGGGCAGGTGGCTGTGCCGACGAAGGCGAAGGCACCACATCATCAGCGGCGGCGGTGGATGAGGTGCCGGACAGCCAAGTGGCGGAGGTGCCGCGCACCGTACAGCAGCTGGCACAGTACGCCGCGGTCAAACGCATTCCACTCGGTGCAGGATCCAGATCTGCATCGGATTCTGGATCCGAGTCGAGTCCTCAGTCAAGTAGCACAGCTGAAGCTGCCGCAGCTACGGAACGGGTGTCAAGAGAAGTACGGCCGTTTCATTGCGGCCGATATCCCCAGCCGATCCCCTCCATTGATTACAAGCGCTGGTGGGCGGCTGCACTTGAGGAAGAGGAGGCGGTTGCCAGCGGCAGGGGCAGCAGTACCCCCTGGATAACTGTACCATACCATGAGTACTTCGAGCCGTACGGAGTTGTACGACGCGATCAGGTGAGCGTGTGCTTTGCAGCGTTTCAAGCGTTTCAGCGTCCTTCCACAGCCCGCACTCACGCATTTTGTCCTGTCAGACGTTACCCGGGTGGAGTTACTGCACGAAGTGTCCTCGAGTGTAATTGTGTATAGACGTGGGAAGTCGCACCCGTTGCACTTTCTTTGATGGCCAACTTGGTTCCGCTCTGCAGGTGCCGTTGTACGACGAGCGGTTCCGGGGCTACGGCCTCAATAAGGTGCAGCACGCGTACCACATGGCGGCGATGGGCTTTGAGTTCCGGGTAAGTGTTATTGGTGGCTGGCTGGCTGCTTGTGCGTGCGCGTTGATAAATTGGGCGCAAGGCTGTGAAAGGATGGTTAAGGGAATGATTGTGGCTTGGTGTGCGTGGCGGTCCAACCCGTACAAACTGAAAGTAAGTCCAAGAGAAGAACCCGCTTACCCCGGCCACCCCACAGCTGCTCACAAGGCGCTTCTGCGTCACAGTGCCTCATGCCCGGTCGCTGTCATACCGTGCGGTCTTCGGGACCGCCGCCGATTCACAGCAGCGCCTGCGCGTGGAGCGGCTTTACGAGCTGTTTAAGCAGGAAATGTACGACAAATACGGATACAGGTACAGCGCAGCTCCTTAGCCGTCGTTCGGCACAAAACGGCAGTTTGGTCATTTTGGCTATGGTTCTTGCTGAGATTTCCGTGCTGTAAGGCGATCCTGTTTGTGGTGTGATGAATGTATGCGGTGTTCACCTCCTACGGAAGTCCTATGGCTCCTGAATTCAAAGTTTGCAGTAGCTGCTTCCTGCTTAGGGCCTGTCCTTCTCCACTTCTCTATCTCTGGTCCCGTTTCCTTTTTAACTTGGGTTCTTTTCGTCTTCGCCTTAATGACCTGTGGGTTGCGTTCGTCTGGTCGTGGCCTTGAGTGGGTGCGGACTTGTTAGCTCCGGTTAGCGCTTGTTTACCCTTTCTTTGGTCGTGCTCCTCCTTTTCTACTTCTGCAACCATCCTAATTGAAGCTATGCCCATGGCTCGACAGTCCTGCGGTCTTTTGCATGAATTTTGTGGCCATGAGTGAAGGAGAGCCTCGGACAGATCGCAGTTGGCCACTGTCTGCAACCTCTCGTTCTGATGTCCTGGCTGCTTGCGACGTCTGCAGCGCGGAAGGCCCTTGGCCTTTTCATATGGAGTACTAGCAGCGGTGGCAGCCCTGCCCACACGACGGAGCAGCTCACGGCACAGTCTCGATAGGAAGAGAGGGAATGGGCCACTGTGCCGGTGCTCCTGTAGTGCGCCACTCCACCGCCGCGGCAGCAGTACTCCAATACAGCAACAGTTCCTGACCTGCAAATGCGTGCGCCGTTCCACGTTCTGTGTTCCCGTTAATCCGCACAGCCCGTGCGGTCTTTTCTCCCACAGGGCCTGGAGGCTCCGTGTGTCTCCCAGATAGGTATCTGGTAGCCTCAAGACCTGCTTGTCTACCGAGACTAACTGCATTAGTCAAGATTAAAGAACTAGGTTCACCGGTGGGTCCACGGGGTCCGTAGTCCTCCATTAGAACTTCTTCATTTAACATTTGGTCGGTCGTCAGCCCTTGGGATATAGGATTCCGCTAATGCCATCCTAATCCGTATAGATAGCCCGATCACAATACAAGCAGCGCAGCACCGTAACGCCGCCATCCGGAGGCTTCGTCGTCCAGGGTCACACCAGTCCAGTCGTTAGCTCATGCGGGCAATCTCTTCCCAGCCAAGAGCTACCGTTAAGAGCTGCGGGACACCTACAAACTAAGGGACACCCACACACACATACACGGATCAGAAGACTGACAGCTAAGGATACTCAATGCGTGTTGATCAGTGTTGCCCTACGTCTGGCTCTCTTGGGTCTTAGTTCGCTGCGAGAGGGCACGAATGGCGCTGGATGACGCCAGTCTGCGGCCAAGCTGGCGGACCCACACGGCCCAAGCACAGCCCACAGCCAGTCCATACTTACTCCTCCTACCACACCTGCACGCACACCAGCTGCACTTGCTCGCGGTAAGCACGCCTCCTCCCTGCTCAACCTTCCATGCCCTTCATGCATGCACGCAGTACACCTTGCTCTGCTCTGCTACTCGTGCGGGCATGCAATGCCTTTCCTCCCTCTTAACTTCTCTTACCGTAACGCGGTGCACGGATCAGTCGGTTTAACGAGGCCGAGGAACATAGTAAGCTGGCACATTCAAACAGGACGTACTGAGTACGGATTAGGTTGACACACAAAGGGAGGGCCCCGGAGGACACGCTAGATGTTCGCGGCTAGCGGGCTGAAAACACCCCACAAAGCATAAAGAGGAAGGGCACACTCTTGTAATAGTAAACTTCACTAACCAGCGAACCAGACATGAACGCTCTGCCGTCGTCAGACTCATCCTAACTTACACGTGCACATGGTCTACTGGCAGTCTATTGATGGCGTTCCAACAATAAATGAGCCCGAAAGAACGCAGCGGTTTTTTTTCCTTTCCTCCAGCTAGGTGGTTGCAAATCTCCCGCCCGCCATAAATAAATCCGAACCGAACCGACCTGGAAATCAAATACGCCATCCATCCGGGGCCCCCTCTTACCCCACCTCTACGCCCCCATCATCCAAAGCCGCCACTGCCTTACCCAAGGCTGCAGCAGCACCCTGTTTACCACCCGATCCACCAGTCTGCGGGGTCTTACCAGCCTCCTCCTCCTCCTTAGAGCCGTCGGCCCCGGTGTGGCCGGCAGCGTCGCCACCACGCTGCTTGGCTCCGGTGGCACCCTCCTCCGCCATGTTGAGCACAGCGGCCTGAGGGAAGTGTGTGAGAAGCAAGGGGGGAAGGCGCTTACACGTCGACACCAACACACATTGGAAACGAAATGCAATTGCCTGAAGAGCACTCCACAGACGTGCATACATACATAAATACATGCATATGCATACAGGTGAGCATCAGGCGCAACCTCATCTCATCTCCACACGTCAACCAGCTGCCGTACCTGCAGCATGTGCGCCACACTGGCGTAGCCTCTCTCCTGGGCCTTATGGAAGGCAATGCCAGTGGGCAGACGGCCCTCCTTGCGCATGCAGATCGAGCTAAAGCGCGCTCCCAACGCGGCGGCGGAAGGGAAGAGGAAAAGGAGGAGGAGACAGTGGGACATTCAAACGACAGAACAACCACGGAAAAGTCGATGAACTGATCTGGGTCAGGATTGGGTCTAGCACATGAGCAAGTTTACCACATTGCGCAGTCCAGCAGCGGTGGAAAGGTAGAAATTGCTAATTTGTTTGGAGTGGACGACAACAACACATGACAAGGAAAATGACGCCGAGGCATTATGGTAAAATAGAGATGGAGACGCTGTAGTAATCATGGACGGCTGGGTGGTGAGTGGTCAGGACAACCGTAAATTCGGGAATCTTCTTCACAGGACCTATCAGTGCCCTACTGCTCTAGACTAGCGAAGAGAGCAAGAGGATCATGGCACATGACACCTCCTGGACTTCTGCGGCAGACGCCCAGGCGCCGGGCTTAAAAAATCCCACTCATCCCGAAAGTGCCGGAAGACAGTCACCATATATATCTGACATCTGCGCGCAAAAGAACTTAAGACATAAGGAATCAAAGGGGTGTGTGTGTGTGTGTCTCCGCGAGAGAGACAAAACGCACATAAAACATACAGACAACACACACCGCGCCCGTCCCGTTGCGCGTCCCCACCACCCATCTGCATCCGCACCTGTTGCAGAACCAGCCGTGCTTGCGCCAGTTACCGTGTTTCTTCTCGTAGCAATGGGGGCAGAGCCAGTCGGGGTCTTCACGGACCTCCTCTAGAACCTGACCGTACCTGCGTGGCACCAGTTGGGGCTTATAACTGTTGAGAGGTTCCTGTCTCGGAGCTTCTTGCTTCGGGTTTGGTCCTTCATAATCGAGTTTCATCGAGATCATCCACCCAAGGAGGCGTGAGCTCGCAGAAAACGGATGGTTGCTAGAGAGGTAGGCGAGAATGGAAGTGCAACGCGCGACAGACTCACGCCACGCCTGAGACAACAGCGATGCTGATCAGAAGCACAACAAACATTTCATATTCAACCAAACACTTATCAACACGGAGAATGGACAGCAGCAACACCCCAAAACAGGCCCTCCCCATCAAGGAAGCGACGACAGCGGGCCTCTTCCCTTCCCCCCACGCACACATACGACGCAGCCCACCTGACCCAAAGGCACGCGCGACAGAAGATTCCCGTCGCGGACTTGCAGCTCGAGCAGGTCGACTTGCCCAGGCACTGTGCCGCGCTGTTGCGGGTGCTGCACCGGGGACAGTCCTCCTCACTACACAACATCTTCTGGCGGCAGAAATGGCAGGTGAGGCCTGCATGACATGGCATGGCCGGGCGATATGGGTCAACAACTAAGTGGAACATCGCTTACGTCAAAAGCGGGAGCAGGTGGACGTGCTTCTCAGCAAGGGCGCCCAAACGCTGCGGGTGGGTGCGTTTCCAAAGAAACAGGGCCGCGTGAAATGAGAAATGGGTGAAGTGAGGAGAATGAGTGTGTATATGCGAGCGTCTCGTACCAAGGTTACTATCGTACACGCGCCCGCGACCACGGCCTCTGGACGAGCATCGCCGCGCCTCCAGTGCTGCGCGTTGCTCCTCTGTCATCTCCTCCCCCGCCGCTGCCGGTTTGACACTCGCCGTACTGCGGCCTGCAAAATATTTCCGGGTTTCGGAGCGATGTGCGAGTCACAGTACTACGAGCGGGAAATTCCCCATCCCCTTTTCATGCCCGGGAAACACACCACCCCGGCGGCGCGAGGGTAACCCCTTAGGTGGTTGGGCTGTGTCGGGTTGCGCCCTTGCAGAAGAAGTGGAAACAGAGGCATGGCGTGTGACGTGACGTTCTAACGTGAGTGTGGTTTTGCGCCGTCGCGATCCGTGGCGTGCAGATAGGGGACAACAAAACCTAGGCTAAACTTGTGACAACGCTCGACAGGAAGTAGAGCAAACCGCAAGGCAAGCAGGTTGAAATCAGGAAGCCTTGTGACTAGGTGGGCACACAAAACAAAACTAAATTTGTTAGGTGACAGAGCAAATGATGAATGGATAATGAATGAAACACATCATGATCTGTGAGCATTGGATGCTGATGAATGTTTGGAGGACATGATTGCTCTAGGGATGGGGAGCAGGCGCAAAGCATGCCAACCAGAACCAGTCGCTTTTCATCATCACGCAGCATCGCACTTCATCGCAGCCAGCCGGCCCCACATGCAAACCACATGTACTTATTATTGCAACAAGACGGTGTCATAACTATGGTAACGGCCAAATGTAGGGGAAACCTTACCGATCAGGTCAAGCAGCTCGCCGCCGTGGGTGCCGCCGGCAGCCTCCTCACCGTCACCGCTACCATCACCTTCTGCACTGCCGCCACCACTATACATGGGATTGCCATCGTCATCGAGTTCTACAAGGTTTGGGGCAGGCATCCCCGCTATGCGATGGCTCCGCCGCGGTGGCAGCCTCCGCTCCACAACGCGCGGCCTCTTAGCCGCAATTCTCTAGCAGCCAGCGGAAGGGCGCGTGTAGGGAGCATGACGTAATGTGTTTGATGTAAAGTGGACTACCTTATAGCAAAGATGAGAGAGAAGGGAATATCTCGGGGGACATCTTGGCAATCTGTTATGTTCACCTGGGCTGCTGAAGCTGGCCCCCGATGGTTGTTCTTCTCCGCAGCGACGGCTTGGGTAAAGTTCCTTACGGCTTTTGCGACGCCGATAGCGGCTGAGGCACAAAGGGTTGTACCCCGGCGTGAGTAATTTGTGCGTGTCAAACCAGGAGTGCGGACACTGAGGTCTTCAGCAGGTACTGCATCCCACCCAAGGCAGCGGCATTCCGAGCCATCCTCTCCTGGCGTTCAGCATCAAGGTCGTCTACGGGCGCCCCGGCAGGTGTAGCATGGTCTGTCTCCTTGGCTCCATCGTCCGTTGCAGAAGCGCGCCGCTTCGGTGCCATGGCTGTTCGGTCTACAGCTGTCGTTGACTGATAGTTCAAACCATAGTAACCGAAAGCCTTGTAAACAGTGTACTGAAAGCTAAGCAGTCGTTACCGCCCAGACCTAACAACTAAACGGAAAGGGCGCTTGGATGCGGTAGTTTGGAGCAGGCAAATAACAAGCCGGTGTTATTGATATATGCAGGTTTGGCCAAACAGTTGGCGTAAGTTGGAAAGCAATTATTAAGGTTTGACCTATGATACAATAGAGTAAATTAGAGTAACTCTGAACTATTGGAACACGCTTTGGGCAACACCGTTGGCGGCTACGTCGGAAGTGCCGTGCCCAAAGTGACTTTTTGCACTTTTTCCTCAGGCTTATAACGTATTCCCCCGCATATGCTCATCTACGTGTCACTCTTATATTACTTCTGAAAATCTAGACGCATAAGCGTGACGAGATCGTCTGTCCACAAGGGCTTTCACCGCATCCTGGCAACATTCCTTGCTTCCAAGTTGTCAATATTTACGAGTCAAAAGGGCAGTGGATGCTTTAACTGTTATGCAAGTTGTACATAGTTTACGTATCCCGCAACTCACACAGCAAGCCTTACATCTTCTCTGTCCTTTTTGCAGCAGCGGGATGAAACAAGCTCGACAAGCTCTCAAAGGATTCGCGCCATTGCACAGTATCACAGTATTCCCTCAGGAAACATACGTTCCTCCGGCGCGTCGTAACCACACCACCGTGGTCACCAGCAGTAAATTTCAGCCGACGCTGGAGCTCCTGTCCCTAGGGCGAATAATCCTCCATACATTCCACTCGGCAATGACCTTTATCACACCATGTTCCATGTAAAGCATATCCCCAGTTTACCACCCAAATGCATGTCCACTTTCCCCGCACTCGCTAAACCCTTTCACGGGCCCTCAAGTCGATTGTCCCATCTCTCTTGTCACAGCTCACGTTTTATACATTTACACACATAAAACCCTTACTATAAAAGAATTTCTTCGCATGCCTTTTACTTTTGTTCGGGCAAATTTCAATAAAACCAGATGAGTCTTCAGAACGCCCGGCGGAGCAGCAGGGACATGACAAGCGCGATAACGCCGCTGTATGCACCCAGTAGACCGGTCGCGACGTGCTTCTTCTCCACCATGTCCCGCTTGGGTAGCCCCGAAGAAGAGATGTGGCCGTGGACAGAGTCCACCGCCGCCCAGTGCAACACGAGGGCGCGCTTGTACTGGTTCCGGAGCCACGTCTCAGCACGCGCGGAGGCGCGCTCTGCACGGGCACGAAATTGAACCCAGGACTGCTGGCCTGCCTGTAGGTAGGGCTCTGCGCAGGGCCAGGTTTAAAGCAAAAGTACAAAGCGCCTGTTAAATATGAAGCAATTAATGCAAAGCATGAATGAAGATGCATTGCAGTGGATTGTTGCAGAAGGACCATTGGTGCACGCATAACCAAATGGCCACATAACCGCCTAATCGTATAACCCAAGCACTCTAAGAGCGTAGGTAGGAGGGCAGGACACGCAAGAGGCGAGGCTGACCAGCCAAGCAAGGGTTCCATATGTCGGAAGGAAAAATGAGAGAGCATCATAGGATCAGGACCAGGACGCTATAAGAAGCGGCATTGTGGACAGTTTACGGCATGCTCCTGCGCGGCCGCTCCGGTTGGAAACTATTACTATAGGAGAAGTAGTCTACAAACCCAAGGAGGCCAAGCTAAGAAGTGATGCAGCAAACCTACGCAGGCGATCACCGGCACCGCACGCACACGCACACATCGCTCTCCTCTCCCCTGGACTGCCACGCGTATTGCCCGTGAAAGGATTACACTCGCGCACACAAGGCCCAGTGATTTCGGTGTTCCATTCGCAGGCGGAGGTCCTGCGGGGAATGGATAATGGCCTTGCAGACCAGCCCCTTCATTACTTCGTTCCGTACAATGCCGAAAAAGAGACCTGGGAGCACATCGTGCGCATATGTGCGCTCAAACCTCACGTCACAGGAAGAGGCTCTTACCTGCTACCCGTTGCGCCTCAGCTACTGCCATTTTGTAAAGCTCCTCCAGATCATTTTGCATGCTCTTCAGCTTCTCCTGCATGCGTTCCTTGTCCTGTTTTGGAATAACGGAAAACGGGCGTAGGGGGATGTTGCTGAATGTTGCGGGCAGAACACAAGCTGGAGCAGGCAGTGGGGTATTTGTAAGCGTTAAGAGCGCACGCTACGGCTGCTTGACTGTGAGCGTGTTAGCTGGCAGTATTGCGTGCTGGTACGGTGTTCGACATATGCGACGTGTCCTTTACCCAAGATATGGACACCGCGCCCTGCTAAAAGCGTGGTGCCCGACCATCAAGAACAGGATATTTTCGCGTGGATTTTAGCGCAGACTAGCAGACTTTCACCCACCCGTAAGCGCGATTTAATATGGCTGGCCTCTTCCTTGGCACGCTGCAGCACATCCTTAAAGGATCCGGAGGCGTTCACATTATGAGCGACAGCGCTTAGAAACAGGAGAAGTAAAAGGTAGGAGCGCATTTTGTCGAATCCTCCCAGTAACTTGACTTGCAAAATTTTTTGAGTCAACAGGCTATTCGTGTGCGAGTATGCTGTCTCGATGTGAAGCATGCATTATAACACCAGCACCTTGTGATGGATGGGATACTTATGTAAACTAAATCCAGAACCAGAAACAATCGAAAACGTCAACGGCCATACGCAAAAGGATGGTTAGCAGCTCGAGACATTAGTGCTCTGTATGCAATCTCCTTTTGGTTAGGTTGTACTGTAATATACTGAAAGAATAGTGCAGGCTAACTGAAAAAGGGAGGGCAAGACTGTGGGCTAGACTGCAGAAGAAGAACTGAGGCCTATCATAGGGACAGAACTCGTATTTTACACAAATTCACATTAGCGGTTTGGGGATGCCCAATGCGACAAAGGAAGCGAAGGATGTCCGCGCAGCGGAGAGCAAGCAACTTGCAGCCGCGCGTGCGGCTGAGGAACAATCCACGGCTGAGCTAATGGCATACTATAAGAGCAGGTTGGGTGAGTCATCCTACAATTCTGCAAGTTCGGCAACCTTTGCGTTCCCTACGTGCAACCACTGCCTCGCCATCGCACCATGCAACTTATGCAGAGGGCTTCGAGGCGGAACGAGCGGAACTTCTCTCAAGGCTTGACCAGTGTGCGGTGCAGGGCGCTGAGCTGCATGTCCTGGAATGGGAGGCGCGCAAGCGGGCAGAAGAAGTTCGGGATCTTCAAAAGGTCAGGGGACGCCACATTCTGCAGCTCCATCACCACGCGGCCCCACTTCTCCCTTCTGTAACCCCTTTCCCACCCCCCTCCCTGCGCGACTACGGCAGGAGGACCGCGAAACCCTTTCCCCACCCTCCCTTCCTTTACCAAGGAACTGCCCCTAACCAGGCCTGGCCTTAACAATTCATCTCGCACCCTTAGGCCAAGCATGTACATGCCCAAACCTCAGTGGTTCGGCGGGAACTCCTCAGGCCCGGGGTCGCTTATGTGTTTTGGCCCAAACCCTTCTGTTTCTTCGTCAAATTGCCTTCTATATGCCCCTTCTACGGTTTCCTATTTCCCGCGCCTTCCCTCCCTCGCGTCCCATGCTAGTTTTCTCCGTCCTCCCATCTCGAAGAATATGCTGGCACTTTCCCCAGTCTATTTTCTTGTCCTTTACTGTCCTTTCTTCACGTCCCTCGCTTCTTCGCCAATGCTTCTCTACTTTCCTCGCCCCTTTCCCGATTTACGTCTTAGTCCTTTGTAAGCACACATGCCAAGACAGATAGTACGTGCACACGCACACGTATGGGGGTTCTTTTTCGTTTGCTTCTCTTCCGGAGGCGCTAAACCCCATTCTTCCTCCTCTCTACGTGCACTTGCATCCGGAATATAACTCCGGCACTAGTATGTTTTTAATCTGCATAGACCAGTCGTCGGGTTCTTTGGGTTAAACGTCGTTCCTTGCGCCGCCACGTTGCCTGATTGCTTGCTCTGTAGCAGCATCACCTTGAACCACGTTGCTTGCGGAGCTGACGTATGCCGTGCACACCTCGCACATTCGCTGCTTTCCCACCCTCCGGCCCTTCCTCGCGCCAGGCGCTCAGTGACGCACACAACTTCCTCTTCGACGAGCGCCAGCGCCTGCTGGCCCTACAAGCCGAGAACGACGACCTGCGGCTGCAGGAGATCCAGGACCGGAAGACCATTCAGCAGCTGCTGGCGGGGGGACCGCATGCGGCGCAGGGGCCCCGCCAGCAGCCGGGGCAGCAGGGACGTGGGGCCGCGGCCGCCGCCTCCTCGTCCGCGGTACCGGGTCCCAGCACTGATCACTTGCTGCTGCAGATCGAGTCCCTGCACGCCCAGCTCAATGAGCAGGTGGGGGACCGCTCCACCCTGTCCCATTTCCCTTCGTATTTCGTAAGCACACACATGTACATACGCACCCACCCACCCACCCACAGCACCCCAGCACAACACCCCAGGCGCGTGTCGTTAGCCCATTCATTGATTGCTTTGCACTTCGACAGTTTCTTTCTTTTTTTGGCTATCATTTCCGCCCTTTTTCAACAGTCCGCACTTCCTTTTCCCCTGAGCTCGCAACCTTTACTACTACTGTAAGCGCTCGTATTCCTACTCGTACCCCTACCCTTACTCCTGCCATCCTTCCTGTTGCGACTGCGATTCCTACTCCTACTGGTACCACTACTACCATCACCACCACCACTCACAGAAGCAGTTGGCTGCGGAGCGTATCGCGGCTCTTCAGGAGGACCGGCGCATTCGCGAGCAAGAGGAAGAGGCCCACCGGCGGGCTCTGACCCAGCAGCTGGAGGTGGCCACTGAGCGCCTGCAGCGGCTGGAGCAGCAGCTGAGGACCACGACAAAGGATTACATACTGGGTGAGGTCCAAGTTGGGGATAAAATGTGGGAGGCGGTAGGAGGAGGGAGCTGGAAGGGAAGAAGAGGAGGAGGAGGATTGAGATGGAAGCGGACGGAGAACCAAGGTTAAGGGAATATTTTAAAACGACTATCGCCCCTATCGCCCTTATCACCCCTGCGGCCGTGGATTGGGTCGTGATCCCCGGGGATGTGTATATTCCGCATTCCACATCCCACGCCACGCATCCGCCCCGATCGCCCATCCACTCACCTTACCTCTCCTCATCCCGACCCACATCACCCAACCCAACCCACATCACCTCATCGCAAATCTCTTCTGTGTCCACTGTTTGTATGCCTGGTCGGTCTTAGGTCGCCGCGAGCGCCAGGCCGCTGAGGAGCGGGCTCTAGAGTGCCAGGCTGCGCTGGCTCGCGAGCGGCAGTCCTTCCTGGAGCAGAGCGCCGATCTGCGCCGGCGGGCAGCTGCGGAGCTGAGTGCCACCAAGCAGGAGGCGGAGAACAAGGTGGAGGACCTCACAAACAACCTCAGAGCGCAGGTATGTCTGTATGTATCTGCGCGTATGTATATATGTACATGTGTGTGTCACACAACGACCCGGGCCTGACACTGGCCAGGGGCACTTAGCCGTACCCCAACGGGAACGACCGCCGAAGCACTGTATGTGTTTCCCTTCCCGAGGGCTTCCGCCTTTCCCCCGCTCTTCAAATACCTACGCGTCATGCATGCAGCTCAAGACCCGGGAGGAGGAGCTGGTGAACCTGAGCAGCGTGCACACCACCGCCGTGGCGCAGTACGACAGGCGGGTTTCGGAGCTGGAGCTCAAGGTGGCCCGGCTGAGTGAGTCCAACCGGCAGTTAGAGCTGCGGCGGCATCTTGACTGTGAGGGCTGGACGGCGGATGTGAGTGCGCTGAGGAAGACGCTCACGGCGGTGGACCGCAAGCTGCATGAGATGAGGCTGGTGGAGCGGTAAGGAATGGCGTGGAGCCGGGGGGGGGGAAGGGAGGGAAGGAGTGAGGGAGGCAGGGAGGGAGGGGGATTGGTAGGGGGAAAGGAGGGAGGGAGGGAAAAGAGGGAAGGAGGAAGGGAGGGAGAAAAGAACAACTAAGTAAGAACTAAGATCCTCTGCTCCGCACTCGCACCTTGCTGGATCATTCTTCGCCGTCGCCAATCCTGCCACCTCCGCCTCCCCTCTCCCCTCGACAGCAGTTATGTCTTGCTTTGCTTTCCACATCCCTTCCCCCCAAACCCCTACACCCCCCTCACCCCACCCTGCCACCTCACCACACCTCACCACCACCCCATTGGCGCCCCAGGCTGGAGGACGACGACCGCCTGGATGCCATCCTGAAGCACCTGCGCAAGAAGGCACCCAAGGTGCCGCTGCCGTGCCCGCCTGGTTCCGGAGCCGCGTCAGGCCCGGGGTTGAGCGGAGGCGAGACGCAGAGTGTCAAGAGCGCTCTGGCCGAGGGCCTGCAGGACGTGCGGAGCCGGGTCAAGGACCTGGAGCTGCGGCTGGCGGACAAGCAACAACAGATGCAGCAGCATCAACAGCAACAGCAGCAGCGGGGCGTGAAGCCGGGCGCCAACGGCGGCGTGGCACGGGCAGCGTCGGCGACGAAGTCCAGGCGTTGATTAGGGGGCTGAGGTTGGGGGTGATGAAGGAGGGGGGTGGGTGGGTGATGGGTGGGGGGAGTACGCAGGCAGTGTAGGCTACTGCCTTGAGGCGAGTGATGCATATAGATGCTACAGCGCAAAGGCCTCCATTTGTTCAGCTGGAAATAAAGTAGCTGGGCGGCGCGGGAAGATTTATCCCACATACTCTGGAGGTGGTCAGCGGTCCCGCAGAGTCCGGGTGGCGGCGTGTTTTTCACCCGGTTGAACCGGGGGCTTGAGAGGCTCCGGGGCCGCCGGTCGTTGTGGTGGGGCAGGGCAGGGTCGGGTTCGCCCCCTAGATTTGCCGAGCTGCCGAATTTCTGTGTGTGGAGGGGAGGGAGGGAGGGAGGGAGGGAGGGACGGGTTGTGTCCACCTGCAGCTGAAGGATGAGCTGGGAGGCGGGAAACTGGGGAAGACGGGAGATTAGTAATCCAGGTGCGCACGCGGTAAGGTAATGAACCTTCGATGGAGATGTCTTCGCCTGACCGCTCGATAAAATTTGAAAATTTCCTTCGGCGCCAGTTGCACGATGCCGACGCGTCCATCGTTCTCGTTGTATCAAGGTTGTCAACAGTATGAAGAGTAGTTATTTTGGTCGACATCGCTGTTGACAGGAGGATATTCCCCCGCAGGCCGGGGCGCGTATGGGAGGTAGGTATCATGCAGGATAATGCAGGTCTTGGACCTTGAAACTCGTCAAACTTCAGGATCATACACCCATTTCTCTCCCTCATTTTCCGTTCACCTTCTTCCTCTCTCTTTCTTCCTCTCTCTCTCTCTTTTCCTCTCTCTACATGCGCAGGGGGATTGCGCTGTGAATCGGTGTACTCCATTCTTGTGTCTAGTGTGGGGTAGCTAATGCCCAGGGCGTCCTCTCTCCAGGGACGGTGATATCACGCTTGTGGGTCACTTGATGGATCATCATGCGGGTCAACTGGGTGGGTTTCGGAGCCCATTTCCATTTGTTTGTGTGTATGTATTAGGTACGTATTATGTATGTGTGCGCATATGTATGTATGTATGTATTAGGTATGTGTGTGCGCACCTGTCACCGGCATGTCGGTTCTGGCAGAGCATGATGAGAGGAAATGACGTATTACAGGCATCCGAACAGATCACCGGTGGCTCAGCCACCCGCATAACCCAGACACCCTGAGGATGTCCTTTAACTTGCGCTGTCATGCGCGCGCGCTGGTATGTATATATCTAATATCTACTGTTTCCACGTTAACATGCTCGCGGCAAAGACGCAGAGCAACAGGAAATCCACGTTCATCATCTTTAAGCGAATGCGCATCTCAGCCGCTGCATGTTGCGTGTCGCTGGGGATTCGCAGCGGTTGGACCGTGGCGGTGGATGGGGACTGGGGGAGGAGGGTCACTCACGGTCCGCCGCGTTGCCAACACCGCGGTATCTAATTGGCTCAAGAGCAGGGCGGTCCGCAGCTCCATACACGCCTCTCCGCAATGACTTCAACTTGTCGGACACGTGTCGAAAACCCCCTCACACATTCCCATACGAACACACATGGGACTACTTGCTCCGGTAAAATTGCCCCTGTGTACTCCTTCATCTTCACCACTTCCTCCTCGCGGTTCAGCTCATTGAGCCACACACGTAAACACATTTCTGTTGTCTTTCATGGTCACGTGCCCAGGACGAAAACCACCTCCTCCGCCATCCAAAATGCACAGAGACGAGGATGTTCTGGTCTTGGCCCTTGAATGGCGTGAAAGCGCCTTGAACAGCTGGCCTGCTGGTCTTGGGCTTGGGGGGTGTCTGCACGTTTCGAGAGCCCGGGTTATCAGCTGGGGTAAGCTCCAAGACGAACATCAGCGTCCCATCGGCCCATTGGTGGTGGACACAATGTGTCACACTTTTGGATACCGGGTTTGCTAAATCATAGGGGGAGAGCCGTACATTAGGCGCGTCGCCGTTAGCCCTCGCATGCTTCGTCCGTAAGGCAAGCCTCCGCGGCGCCGCCGCCGCCTCGGTGCTCGTCCAGCCAGCCGTTGGGTAGCCCCATGCGCTGCCGTACAGGCGCGCCGCCACCCTTCAGCCGTGGGTGGCGTGCTGCGGAGGCCGGGTACGGCTCGCTCTGGTCGTACATGTCAATGTCGTTCGCTGCCGCCCGCCACTGCTCCAGGCTATCCGCTACCATGAGCCGTGCCTTGAGTTGCGTGGCGGATTTGAAGCCGTACAAGTACAGCGAAATGAACTTACGGAAACGAAGAATAGAGTCCCTGAATGGACAAAGAAGGTTGGGAACATGGGGGCGTGCGGTAACACGTGGAGTGGAGGCCGCCCTAGAAACCGAGGTCGTTTATTTGCCCTCGCCCTTACTCTCCGTACAATGCCGTACAAGTACACATGCACCAACCTTTCCTCTGGATCGTAATCCCGGTACCATTCCACTTCAGCTTCTACGTGACGCAACGCTGTCGCCACCACCTTGCCCAGCACCGGCGGTGCCAGCACCGCCCCCGCCGCCCCCGCCGCCGCCGGAGTGGTGATGGAGGCGTCATCATGATCATCCTTGTTGTCGTGCAGCGCCTCCGCCACCTCCCGAAACACCCACGGTCGCCCTAACGCTGCTCGACCCACCATTACTCCTGCAGGAAAACCGCACACCGACAGCAGATTGCAACCACATTGCGGTGTTGGAGTGACATGAGACAGGGGGGCTCAGGGATAGGCGGTGTGCAGGTCCGTGAGGAAGAGGCACCGGAGAGTAAGGAAAGCGGTTAGGCGCTAGGCTGATCATGTCAAGGACAATGCTGTGCAAGTCCCAGTACAGAAACTATTATGATAGATAGTCGTAGACAGCCAGAGGGGGCATAACCAATCCCGCGGCACGGCCATTCCGGTGGCCTGGAGGATTATCTCTTACGCAGAGATACCGACGAGGCCCCCGGGATAGCAGCAATCAGGATTCAACCTTTCTGAATTAGTTATCATTATGTTTCTAATGTTTTTAATGAAACTCAGACGGGAACACAACCCAGGACCTTCACCCTCAGCACTAACCTGCGCAGCCAGTTTGTTCCATGAGCTGTACGGCATCGGATGCCTCGTACACATCACCGTTTCCAATCACGGGAATCTGAACGGTTTTCACTAGATCACGTATCGCATGCCACATCACTGGAGCGCTGTACAGTTGGTCTGCCGTGCGCGCGTGGAGGGTGAGCGCCGCCGCGCCCTCCGCCTCCGCTATGCGCCCAGCCTGGGGCCGCGGACATGGCAGGAAGACACGGCATCACGCGAACTCACTTCACGAAAATCACGAGGATCAAATTGCAAGTATGCTTATAAACTGAGACTTTAGTAAGATCAGGTTATAAATATAGGATATGGTGTCAGGAATGACATCGAAGTACTCTTGGGTGTCGTCAGATCCGGCATTGGCCGTTCAAAGACCAATATCCAAATACACTAAAGATGGCGAGAGACAGACAGACAGACAGACAGACGTACACTCACGTCAACCATGTCCCCGCACCAACCAACACTTGCCTGCAGGTGGGTGGGTAGCTCCGAAGTGAGCCCCACTCGAAGCTTCACGGTCACCGGAACCTGCCCGCCTGCGCCCCGCACCGCCGCAGCCACCAGCCTGCAGCATCAGCATCAGCATCAGCGTCAGCAGCATCAACAGCAGCATCAGGAATACGGGTCGCCAGGCATGCAGGAGCACGTAGCCCCAGACCCAGCAGCAGCAGCAGCAGCAACGCGCACATACGATGGGCCACCTTAGCTACCGCTTGACGGCACATCTTCGGTCGGTTTTGATATGCGAAATGCCCTATATCGCCAATATATCTCCATACTGCGCGTTTTCTTGAGGTGGCGGAATTTTATTAACTAAATGCGTTTTGTACGCCCTGGTCCTGGCTCTGGCCGTTTCCGCTGTATATAGAGACTGCCATACGACACGTACAAAGCACAAATACACAAGCAGTAAATTCGTTCGAGGGCCACTCCGGCCTTTTCCCCTATCGCGGCTCGGGTTAATTGAAAGACGCACACCTTGCAAACAGCATAGGGCGCAACGGCAGTGCTGAGCCGCCCCCACGCGCCGTGATTTTGCGCACGGGGCAGCCGAAGTTGAGGTCCACGTGATGCACATTCCGCTCCGAAACCAACATCCGTACAGCCTGATACCAAGAGTTTGGGGGTTGTATGGGTGGTTGGACGCGTGGTTGAATGAACTGGCTAGCAGCTGCCTGCCTTCCTGTTGGTATAATGTTGCTGCGTAAGGCCTCGCCCACTCACCCACGGATAGCGCCCGCAGCGTTATACGTTTTCAGCCTTCGAACACCCGCGCAGCTGATTTCCGTCGAACATATGGGCTACATGGTGTGCTCCATTCAGGCACGCACCTCACCTCCCATTAGCCATGGACAGCCCCCTCTCCACCAACCACGCACAACTCGGGCCCAATCTCATTCGCCCGGAAGGCGCCGCGACTGAGACTGCCCAAGACTGCCCACCTGTTCCACTTGATCCGGTCGTACACCGTACAACTGTACGGACCGTAAACTCTCGTCGGGTGCATAGGATGCTAGCTTGAGGGTGCGACGGTTGCGCAACAGTAGCGCCGAAGCGATGACCATTTCGCTCGTGGACAGAGAGGCGCCGTGCTCGATGCACAGCTGGCGATAGGGCGCACAGGAGATACCAGCCATAGGAGCGGCGAGGAGCGGAGGCCAGAGGGTGAGAGAGGAACCCAGTTTGAGGGGGCGAGGTCGCGACCGCGAGATGGATGGCAGTTGTCCATCGGTTAGAACTGCTGGAAGAGGCCCCGGCTGCGGTTGAGAAAGTATCATATAAGAAAGGGCGATTCAGGAATAATTACTGGCGTATGGATTCATGATCCTAATTAATAGTTTGTGAGTTTGTGAGTTCAAACGTCCGGCTACGACCGTGGACTGGGACGTTTGGCTTGCAGGTTCTGGAGCACATGAACATGAATTCCTTATTACATTTCTAGCTTAAGATGTAATAAAATAAGACCATGCTGGTTAAACCGCTTTAACTCAATGCTGCTCAACTGACACCCATGCTGGGGGCTGAATTTCGTTTGTGAGGTTTCGGAGCTTTGCATTGGCTTAGACTGGTGTTTCTCAAAAGCTGTTCATCCGCAGCTGGCCATATCCGTCTATTTGCTTCGTTATGACTCCTTTAATTTACCGAAAGACGTACACCGACGCAAAAATTGCGTTATAAAGTACAGTGCTTCCGATGAATTCTATGGCTTGGAATCAGATGACATGGGTGGGCCGCACTCGACGAACGACGTGTTTGGTGAGCATCGTCGCGCAGTGCCACACTGGTCATTCGCCCGTACTCCACGCCTATGAAAGCGCACCCACTGCACCTGCAACTCTACGTGGCTCTAACGCAGGCCCGCGCTCAGCAGCACGCAGTGCCACATCCCGGCGCCGACATGCTTTCCGCAGCCACCACGCAACGACTGCCGCAGCAGCCCGCTCTGCCACCCCCGTCGCTTCTGCCGCTGCACGTCAGCCAGCGCATCGCGGCGGCGCGAGCCGTCGAAAGTCGTCGTCATCGTCGTCGTGACACTCGAAATGGCGACGACGGCGACGGTCCGCCGTTGTTTGTGGACCCATACGCGGACCTACTCGCAAACTGGCGGGTAGGTGCACATTTCCCCTCTTTACACACATATACATACAGGCAAACATATGTTCACAAACAGAACTGCACGTATTCTCACTTATCATATCTTCGGTCCCCGCGCCCTTTCCTACATATCAACGCCTACAAGCAAGCCGAGCCGTGTGTTCAGCAACAGCAGCATCAGCACCAACACCAACACCAACACCAGTTTCATGAGGTTGCGGATCAGATGGATGCCACGGCGCGGCAACGGTGGCAGCGGCACCAGCTGCGCACGGCTCTGGACGTGATCGCTACAGCGCACCTTGACCGGCTACTGCTAAACGCCACCTCCGTCAGCGCCGTCAACCGTATAACCCAGGGGGACTACCGGCAAGTGGTGCTGCTAGGAGATGGAATGGACACCAGGCCGTACCGCCTGCCGCTGGCGCCGGGTACGGCAATATTTCTCGTGGCGCCAGCGGCAGTGCATGCTGCTGCGACAGCGGCGCTGGCGTCAGAGGAGGCGGCGGCCGTCGCGGACGCGGTAGCGGCGGACGGGGCCACCACCACCAGCGGTGGCGGCGGCGGCATCGCTGGAGCAGCCAGCTGGGCCGCCGACAGTGCGGGAGGTGGCAATGAAGCAGGCTTTGTGGGGGGAGGAGGAGGGGAGGGCGAGAAGCCGGTGAAGCTCCGAAACCGGCAACACAGACCTCGCCCGCCGCCGGGCTGTCTACTGCGCCGAGTACCCCTAGAGCTGCAGGTGGGGCTTATAAAGGGGCATACCAGGGGGGCTGGAAGTCCAGGGAGGGGAGTAGGAAGGCCTTTGAAATTTAGGAGGGCACTCTTATGGGGTGCCAGTAATTACGCATTCCCACTTTCCAGGAAATGCCGCTGAAGGGTCCCCGGGGGTGACATCAGTTGCGCCCTTGCTGCTGCTGCTACTGCTGTTGCTGCTGCTACTGCTTCTGCTGCTGTTGTTGTGAATGCTGCTGCTCGTCATCCGTGTCGGCCTTCCCCCCTGTTGCTCCCGTCGCCCCTCCACCCTCCGCTGCCGTCTCCCCGCGCATCCCCTTCCCTCTCCTTTCCCCTTTTTCCCCTCCTTTTTCTCCGCAGCCAGGCACCGACTTCTCCTCTCTGACGCCCTCCCTGGAGGCCGCGGGCTTCCGGACGGACCGGCTCAGTGTGTGGGTGGTGCAGGGGCTGTCCGGACTGCGGCTGAGATACCAGGTGAGGCGGGGGATGGGGGGGGGTCGCCACACGCAGGTAAAGAGGGTTTTTTTGGCGCGGGGGGATGGGGAGGGGGGGGAAGGGAGAGGAAAATCACTCGTAGGTTTTTGCATTAACGTATCGACGGCCGGGCTGTGTACACGGTGCTGATGTAGTTATTTAATTATTTATTTGTTTCCTTGCAGGATGTGGTGTCGCTGCTGGCGGAGGCTGCCCACGGTGCCGCATACCATTCGCTGTTGATGGGAGAGTTGCCGTACATGTCGTACAACCAGGCGGCCAACGCGCTGGCGGACTGCGGGCTGCTGGGAGCGCCGCTGGGTGCGCACTGGTCCTGTTGGGTTGTATGTATGTATGTATGTATGTATGTATGTATGTATGTATGTATGTATGTATGTATGTATGTATGTATGTATGTTGTGTGGGTGAGAGAGGGCCGCGGAATAGCCACTACTGTGATTATTGTCGCGTCAGACGACTGTAGCATCAACAAAACGTGTGTGTACGACAGACAGCGAATGTTTTACACATCTTCCAAATGCACGGATGTAACGAGTACGTGCTTCTCTGCTCCCTATACAAACCTTTTATCCTTAAAGCTCAGGGTCTTCCGCCCTCAACTCCACCCGTCATCTCAACTACACATCATATAAAGCTCATCGCTGTGCATGCCCCAGTAATCCTTACGGCACAGAGTGGAAGGCGATGTCCAGGCTATGGCATGCTGCTAGTTCCTCTGCCCACGCTCCTTCCATCCTAATGCCCTGCCCACATCCCCCCAGAGTCTCCCAACTCCCCATGTAAACTGCTCCGCGCCACGCACCGCCGTCCCCCGCTGCCCCACTGTCCCGCTCCCCGCCCCTCCTCGTCCCACCCCGCACCGCACCGCATCCCTACTCGCAGCCTTCGGCACCCCGGAGTCGGACTATGGCCGCTGGAGAGAGGGATGGAGCCCCGGGACTGACGGTGACGTTGATGTCGACGGGGGCTGTACGGCGACAGCTGCCGCTGACCAGGCAACGCAAAAAGAAGCCGGGGCGGCGGGACGGGGTGCACGGGCAGGGGCAGGGGCAGGGGCAGGATCAGAAACACCAGTTGAAGCAGCAGCAGGGGCAGAGGCAGAGGCGGGTGCACCTCAGCGGTGGCTGTTCGCGGCGCAGCAGATCCGGCTCAGTGCGGCTCAGATGGACGTGTATGCGGCGCACCGGACAGCGGCGGAGGAGACGGACGAGGACTTCTTCGACAACTTTAGCTAGGAGGGATTGAGGTCCGCGGTTGCTGTAACGGTGGCTGTAGCGGTGGCTGTAACGGTATAGCGGTTTCGAGGCGGGTAAGGTGGCTTTTCCTGCATGTTTTCCTACACAGAGATATTCACCAGGCGTAAATACGTAAACACGTGCACGTGTCTACGTATGTACGGTATGTACGGCAAGTACATTATATATGTCGGTTTTATATGAACGGGTGGCGGGTGCGAAGGCATGGGCCCATCCTGTATTAATCACCATGATGCAGCAGGCGTCACGTTATATAGCCAACATGCTACAGCCCCATGCCCCAATGCGGCTGACTGATTCCCGAGGGAGCGTTGCGGATGTTGCTGCTTTCACCGTGCTGAAGGGCTCGTACGGGCTGGCTGCATCATTGGAGGCTAAACGCAATTTAACAGTGTAACACACGCGTACTCGCATATGCACACGAAAAAACACAACCCCCGAAGGGAACTAGCTGCACGTGCATGAGCCAAAGATGGAGTTTCGCCTTCCGCTGTATCCCGCCATGCATTTAACAATTTCAATCTATAAAAATCTGCTCCCATTCCTTGCCTAAGCCTGCCTTTGCAATACGGTGCCCGTGTGTGCGGATTTATATGTGAGGATTTATATGCAGTAGCACAAGGCCACGAGTTTGCTTGTGGGAAGGAATTTCTTTTAGTGTAGTTATTAAAGTTTTGCTAGGTCACGGAGCTCCCCTTTGGGGACATAGGGGGGGGAGCCCTCAAGAAGGGCGAGCCGCCTTGCCGACTGGTGGCTATTGCTTGCTCAGGGCCCAACATTAAATTTTGATCTTACTTGGTTCCTTACCTCAAGTGTTTGTCCCGATGGTATGAAGCTGCTGTTGTGCGCTCGTGCGTCGTGCCTTCGAGTCGGTTTAAGCAAAAGGTGGTTGACCGGAACTCACTAACCGTATGCTGCTGTTCTTGTTGCTGGCTATGTTTTGGCTTGCTAGTTGCTACATATTTATCCAATCACCATCTTTGTTACAATGGATGTGCGGGAGACTTAGAGGCAACCATGCACTGACAAAGTGAGCTTGCCATGGAAGTCGTACGACGCTTACGGCTCGGTACGGCAAGACCGTTTCAGTTTACTCTCTTGCCAAAAGACGACCGACGAAATAATGATGTTTGTTGACCTGCTTGCATAAGAGGTATCTAAAATGAGGCTCTACGCCAAGCTGGCGGAAGCCAGCAAATATTTGGCGCTTACTGGGATATGTGTCTTGGCGTTCAGTATCCGCCTATTCTCCATTATCAAGTATGAGAGCGTTATTCATGAATTCGATCCTTACTTCAACTACCGTGTTACTCAATTCTTGACAAAGGAGGGCTTCTACGAAATGTGGAACTGGTTTGACGACCGGACTTGGTATCCCCTTGGGCGTGTTATCGGTGGAACTGTCTATCCGGTGAGAAATTTTAGAGAGAAAACAATCCTGTATCGGCTTCGGTGTCGCTCAAGATCATGCGATGCAAGCTTTTTATTTGGCGTCGTATCGGAAGGTTAAGCACTTAGTGCGGTCATAAATTTAGAAATATGTAGATCGCATGTACTTTTTAAATGTAGACGTGCGTGATGCGTATTGGGCTTCCGTCATGGGACCAAGGCTGTAATAAGCAAGCAGCGATAGTATTTCTTTTACCGCATCGGCTTTATCATGCTAACTGTGCAGCTATCTGCAGCTGATCTTGTCGGGCGCCTTCACCCCATGGGCGAGTATTGCTGCTTTATTACATGCCATTTAAACTAACTAGTCTCCGCAGCCATGTCCATGCATGAGTACCTGTTGATTTGTTGCATTTATATTGCCTTTTTGGTCACCCCAAGGGGCACATGTACGAACTTGTCGTACGCCCTGTCCTGCCCTTCCGCTGTCATTATCGGGGATATTGGAAATGGTCACACCCAGGGTATCACACACATACACAGCTTACATGGGCCGCTTACGCGAGTCCGCTTACGTAGCCTCGCGGTATCTGGACACGTGACTTGTCTAATATCCCTGCCTAACTGTCTGCTAACTAACCCACGCACAGGGCCTCATCTTTACGGCGGGTTCCATTTACCGCATCCTCCACTTCTTCCACATTCCCATCCATGTCCAAGAGGTACGCCCACGCGCTCACATGCTTCCTGGGCCGGCCATGCCTTGGTGGCAGGCCGTCTACGCGTCTTTTGGGTAGCCTTTGCACAGTCGGAGCAGGTTGGGACGGGAGACGGCGCACTGGGAGTGGAACGGTCTGGGCTGACGGCGCGAGGGAAGCAAGGATGCAGCCATGGGTTTGCTGCCCAATGGCAGGACCCCCTGCTTGCCATCTCAACTTCAGTAATGATAGATGTCAACAGTGGATGGCCACAAAGTCCCTGGCATGTGACTAAGTTGGAAAGACACGGCCACAGCGCCACGTGGCAGCTCATGCCCATGCATGTAATGCCAATTCATGTGGCACAGCAGCAACAGCGGTTGTAGGCAGGGCCTTGGCACTGCAGATGCCCATTGCCAGGGACTGGGTGTCGGGTTGGACTGGGTGCCGGCGTTTGTGCATGGGCTGACTGGACACGTTTGCTGAGGATCGCGAGAAGGCGTGTTCAATCCATGCCAAGATGAACATAGCGGGGTCTATTGGCTGGAGGGGTGGACGGGCCCCCGCGCTGCCCGGCACCCCAGCGTCATCAACCAACCAGTCACACAACCGCATCCGCTTCCATGGCGACCCCAAAGCCGGGGCTCCCTTCACCATCCTCATGGATGTTTCGCATTATTGGCAAGTGTATACATCCCTCAAGGGAAAAATTATTGTCTGCTGGCCCTGGCCGACAGGTCTGCGTGCTCACGGCGCCGCTCTTCTCGGCATTTTGCGCGCTGGCGTGCTACGGTCTGGTCTCACAGGTGCGGAAGGACCCGCTTTTTCCGTTGCCAACCAGGCAGGCTGGCAAGGGCGGGGAAACAAGAAAGCTTTCAACCGCCGGATAAAAACCCGTCGCGTCCCGGCATTACCCCACGTAACTGCGTTACAGGCTCGCTCGCATGGCGCCGGCCTGCTGGCCGCCTTCTTCGTGGCAGTCGTACCGTCGTACATTTCCCGCTCCGTGGCGGGTTCTTTTGATAATGAAGGCGTCGCCATCTTTGCTTTGGTCAACGTCTTTTACTGGTTTCTCAAGGTGCGCTGGGACGCACATGCAGCACTTTCAGCTTAGGCTTAGGTATGGCTTGGTTTGTCTGGGCGATTGCCCTTCCATATGGCGTATTTAGCTGAGCTGGTATCCCGGGCCAGCCAGCCAGTCAGTCAGTCAGTCAGCCAGCCAGTTAGGGACGCAGGAGATCCCGCGAGGTGTAGCTAAAGCCGCTTGGGACGCCCAAAAAGGCCCCAGCTCCAAGCTGTTGCACTACCAAGAACCCAGATACTTTTACCCAGATACTTTTACCCAGATACATTTACTTAACTGCACATGCATCGCCACTACAATCCCTGTCGTGTAAACTTTCAGACTGTGAACACGGGCAGCCTCGCGGACGCCGTGGTCTTGGTCGCGTCGTACGGCTACATGGTCATGTCCTGGGGTGGCTACTCGTTCATTATCAACCTCCTGCCGTTGTACTGCCTGGCTTGCATCTTCTTCGGCCGCCTGAATGGTACGCGCGGGCTAGGGTGGCAGATTACCAACTGGTCCAAACAGGCGGTTTGAAGCAGCGGGCAAGGCCTGCCCATGGGGGTCCATGTGCGGTCTTTGGGGGCGTAGTAGGGTGAGGAGCTTGGCTTGACGTTTGGAATTTCTTAGACAGCAGCACTGGGAGGGATGTAAGAGCCCACTACGCTGGCCTGTTCACCTGAACTTGTTGCGATTTCCTTCCGGCTATACGACGCACGTCGTTGCGTCGTTGCGTCCTAGGCTCGTCCACCATTTCCTGTGTATCTGCGGCCGATCGTGCTGTCGGCTCCACATACTGTCCGTTATGCGCCCCGCCGCCCTACCTTGCGCGGCCTCCAGGTCGCCTGTACGTGGCCTTTGCGCCGCTGGTGGCGCTGGGCACCGCCATCTCCTGTTCCATCCCCGTGGTGGGCTTCAACGCCGTACTGATGTCAGAGCACTTTGGCGCCTTCTTCGCCTTCGTTGTGCTGCACCTGGCACTGCTGGTGTCCTACGTGAGGCGCATGCTGAGCACCAAGCACTTCCTCATCCTCACCTCCATGGTCCTCACGGCGGCCCTGGCGGTGGGCGCTGTGGTGGCGTCCATGGTGGTGGCCTACGTAGCCAAGAGCCCCACGCTGGGCTGGACGGGTGAGGCCCATTGAGAGAGACGGTGCTGCAGACCATTTTAATCACCGTCACCTTCCCAACCCGTCGGTTGAGCTAGGAATAATTCTTGAATGTGGATGCGACAGACAGAAGCTTGGGCTGATGGTTTGACCTGCGGGATGGATGCGGCCGGTGGGCCTGCTAATCTTGGCTGTAGGCTATGAGCCGTGTCAGGGGCAAGGGCCGAGCCCGGGCCATGTCTTCCCCAGGTCATGGACTCGATCAAGGCGCTTGGGGCTTTGGAGCTCGTGAGCCCGACAGCCTCCTTCCATGTACCTGTGTATACACTTGTAGTCCACGCAACCTCTGTGTGTTTGGATTTCTGTAAACCTCCCGTTCCGTCCCGTGCTATCGTCCTGTCTCCGCAGGTCGCTCCATGACGCTGCTGGACCCCACATACGCTTCCCGCTTCGTGCCCATCATCGCCTCCGTGTCTGAGCACCAACCACCGCAGTGGACCTCCTACATTATGGATCTGCACGTCCTGGTGATGCTAGCGCCTGCAGGTAGGTCTAAATGCTCATAATGCTGTTGCTGGCGTACTTTAAGCGGCAATGACAATGATGGCCGTGATGATGACCAGTGTTCTGTTTGTGGCAGTGGTGCATGTGCCACGGCTGCCGGTGGCGGTGAGGATGGCTGTCATGCTTGTTGTGCAGACGGTGGTAATAATGATAGTCTTTGTGAGGTTTGGGACGGAAGGGGATGGGAAATGCCCAGGAGCCAGACACGAACACGGAATGGCTGGCAAACAGCAACGGGTTGCGGGCCCTGCGAAATTGCAGATGAGAAAGCTATGACAGGCAGAAAGACGCAACCACCTGAGCTTTGTGCGGGACGTTCTCACTTTTTTACTCCTATTTTCGACAAGGTTAACAAAGGATTTATTAGCATGAACGAAATAATGCTTCCCTAAGCATCATCAGCTCACCGGCCCGCCCCAGGACGGCTGATCGGAATTATTCCTTGCATTTTTTGACGCCTCCCCGGCAGGCATCCTGGCATGCTTCCACCGCCTGACGGACGCCTCGTTGTTCTTGGTGCTGTACGGCCTGACCGCCGTATACTTCTCGGGCGTCATGGTGGGTGGGACTTCGCCGGGTTGGTCGGCCTGGTCACCTGGGCGGGCAGGCATGTCGGATTGGGTGGGTGTGTCCGCCTTAGCCGTGTGAGTGGGCAGGGCACCAACCATCGGGTCCAACCATCGCATCATGACGGAGGATGCAAAGCAAGGATGTGCGTGATGCCGTGGGGTGACTCGACGGGGCCCTTAGGTCGCCATGCTGTAGGCTCGAGATGAAGCCGGCTAAGCGACAATGGCACAGAGGCCTGTCGTTTGGCACCAATCGTCGTTTATAGCCTGTTTACTTGCTGCCTGTTCGGTGTCTTTCCCGATCCTATTTGCGTCCTGATCCCGCAGATCCGGCTGATGTTGGTGCTGGCCCCTGCCGTGTGCTGCCTGTCGGCCGTAGCGCTCTCCGACCTGATGTACGTGCTGTGTGGCTCGCTAAGGTAAGGAGGGTCGTTCAGAAGGATGGAAAGGACAGGTGCGATGAGACGGGCCCGTGTAGCCATCCAACCAGTAGCAATGGGTTGTTCTTTCAGGGAGAGGGGACGCTGGTGGATTTGACTGGAAGAAGATTTGCCGGGGGCGGGGTTCCAGAAAGGGTGTTGCCGGGGCGTTGGCCACCTGCACCGTCGGTGTTGGCTCCTCTGCCTCCGCTTTCAGGCATTGACATTGGTAAAACTGGCTGATACGGCGTCCGAGCGTGTTACGGGTGTTACCGACTTCACACTGCCTCCAACCCATAATATGTGCGCTCAATGGCATGTACGTAAACCAGAATCCATACCCCACCAGCCCAGTCTCCCAAACCAGCGACCACGGTCCTTGTCGGTTCGTCGTTTTCATCTCCACCGAGTGCCCAATTTGCCTGTCTGTCCGCTTGTTTGTCTCTATCTGGCCGTTGCCCCCTAAGGACCTGGAGGCCACCTACCTTCTCCCGCGCTGATAAGGAAGCTTCCACGGCCGACGGGGATGGCGCCGTCTCCGGGAGCAGCCCCAGCAAGGAAGCGGCTGCGGCCGTTGCTCCCACAGAAGAGTCTACCCCATCCAAGAAGAAGTGAGCCTAAGCTGCGGCGATGTGTGGCTCCTCCTTGGGCCCGTGCATCCCTGCATCGCCCGTCAAGTGGCTCTTAATAATTCCCTAGGGAGCATGGCATTGCTGTGCGCTTGCACCTGAACAACAACACACTGCCATGGGTCTCGCCATTCCCGCCGCCGCTGCTCTTCACCCACAATCTCACACCCTAGGCGCCTCTCGCCGTCTCGCTTCCTCATCACGCCCTTCCCGCCTTAATAAGAATTCCACCTAGCAACCTCCAGAAACGGTCCCTTCAAGCCCGCAAGCCGTCTCACGTCTCCTTCCCTTCACCTCCGCGCGCATTCTCAGGTCCCGGCCCCGCCCGTCCTCTAGTATCGGCAGCGGCGCCAAGCTGTATGCGCTGCCGGCGGTTGTATGCGTAGCGCTGCTGAGCATGGTGTTGGTGCTGCTGGGGATGTACGTGGTGCACTGCATCCATGCCTCTGCGGACATGTACTCTTCACCGTCCATCGTGCTGCAGTCACCGCGGCCGTGAGTATATGGGAGCTGCGAGAGCATGTGACGGGCGCAGCGGCCGGGTAGGGATTAAAGCTCTAGGGCTAAGGGGCTGTTGTTGGGGTCATTGCGCGGGGCCGTCATTGCTGCTACTCGGGCTGTAGGAGCAAAGGCTAGCGTCTGTGAAGCACTGGGCGTGGCTCGGATGCGGATGGCGCCGATCTGTGAGAAGTGAGGCGGCGCTTATGGGTTAAGATGCTGCGTGGATTTGATATCCAGGTCCTTTGCTTCTCTGCCATGCGCGTGAATCATACCTGAGTTCAGACCTGGGTCAGATGCTCGGGCTTGTTCGTTGGCTTCCTAGTCCTTACATGTGCTCGCTTCAACAAACTGGGCTGTATACCTCTGTACAGGAACGGTGGTTTCTACGTGTTTGACGACTTTCGAGAGGCCTACGCCTGGCTGCGGCACAACACGCACCCGGACGCCAAGGCAAGTCCCATCTTGCGTTACCCGTCTAGCCCAGTGAATGCGTGCAGCTTCTGCCTTTTGGGGTGTACTTGAAGGAAGATGGAGGGAGAGAGGAGGGCGGGAGGTGGTTGCGGAAGTATTAATGGGACTGTGGGTCAGCGCGGGCACTGAAGGTCCCCTTCGGGATCTGAGGCCGCCATCCTTGTGGGTGGGCTGCGTGCGTTCCTGATCTACGTGCTTTGACACAGCCGTGTGTTTTGTGTTTTGCCGCGCTCGTCAGAAAACCCGTAACCCTGCACGCTGCTCCACGAATAGACTGTGCTTTTGCTGTGGAGCTTCATAACCTATCCAGCGCGTTTTTACAAAGGCCGCCTTCTTTTGGCGGCCTGCCTAAGATCCGACGCTTATTAGAGCTAACGTTCTGGAGTGCTGGAGGCCGGATCTCCTGCTCTCCTTTCTTTCCAGTAGCAACACATCGCGTCTCCGACACAGCTCCGTCTTCACAACGCTTCGCTTCGCGACCCAGACGCCTAATCGCCGCCCCACCCACCTTCCTCAGGTCGCCTCCTGGTGGGACTACGGCTACCAGACAACTGCCATGGCCAACCGAACCGTTATAGTGGACAACAATACCTGGAACACCTCTCACATCGCCACCGTGGGGAGAGCAATGTCCAGCAGTGAGGCCAAGGTGGGCCGGCAGCTTAGAAGCATGGTTCGACAAGCATCTCCTGTCTAGCCAGCGACGCGGGAAGGGGGTTTAGGGCACGGCCATGTGGATATCACAACCCCCCCTCCTACCCTTCCGCTTAACGCAACCACTTGTATAAATTAGCTCCATTCATCCTCCCTATCTCCTTGCCGCAGGCATGGTCCATCTACCGCTCGCTGGACGTGGACTACGTGTTCGTGGTGTTCGGAGGGCTCGTGGGCTACCCCTCCGATGACATCAATAAGTTCCTGTGGATGGTGCGAATTGGTGGAGGGGTCTACCCAGGTGCGATGGGGGGGATGAGTGGTTGGGCGGCGAAAGTATGCTGGGCTGGGTGGCATGAAGGGTGTGGTTTCCACTGGCGATATATAGTTGAATGCGCGGCCACGTGCAGTAAAAGGATGTCAAGATGTGTTGGCGCGGCTGAAACCAAGTTGGGTACTCGGGTGGATACTGCACTCGGGTGGGTGTGGGTGTTGCACTGGGGTATAGAGGGGTAGGTTAGGAATAGCGATGGGAGGTTACAAATGCCTGGCTGCCTCACGGCGGGCTGCTTGACGGATGGTAGCAGGTATGCGGCGGATGCAGAAAGAGCTGGATTGCGTGTTTGCACGGTGCTAGCGTGTATCGCCAGGGAACGGATGTTGTTGCTCTATAGGTTTAATTTCCTTGAGTCAAAAAGTAACTAATATATAATAGTTCAGTAACCTCGGGCGATGCAAGGGATACGTTATTGGCTGTCATCACGACTCCCAGGGCAAACGGCAAACCCGGTAATGAGCGACTGAGAGGCGCATTAGCTAGTGTTCGCCTGGTTATAACGTCGTCTAGCCGTTTTGCCTGACGGAACTTCTTAATCCCTACATGAATCTCACCTTGAATCCACAGAAATTAAGGAGCCGGACTACCTGACACCCGAAGGAGACTACCGAGTGGACGCACGAGGCACCAAGACCATGCTCAACTCGTTAATGTACAAGCTGTCATATTATAAGTGAGTTTCTTTTTGCGTTGCAAGGGTCTGAGGACGTCGTTAGCCGACACTTGACAACCAACGGTGCCCGTCCAGGCGCTCTCTCTCAGTCTCTAACGTGTCTGTCCGCTCACATAATTCAGTGTCAGTGTGCAGCCCCGCGACCAGTCTTAATTGGTTGAGTCGCGCCAATCGCCATGAATTGCTTGGTATGCCATTAGAGACCGTGCAAGGTCCATACCTTTCTGCTCTTCATCCTGTCCACTGCCAGTCAGGGTCCCATCCCTATCCCTTCGACCAGGGTCATCCCCATTCTGCAGCTGTGTTGACATCCGAAAGCTGTCCGCCAGGGTCCCATGCCCATCCCTTGAGCTGGTGTCATAACCCTCATCCTGAGATGCCAGCTGCAAACCTAATCCTTACGTATGCAAAGGTGCTGTAAACTTAATCCTGTAACTTGTGTCATCCTTCTTGAGTCAGGTGTAACTCTTTCTGATGCTCATTCCGTCCACTTGTACCTCGACGGCATCCGCACCGGTTGCATCGCCAGCTGTTAAGCTATCTTGTACCCGTGCATCCATATATCTCTCGTACTATCTCTCGTACATCATTCCTACCTGGCCGCCTTCCTCCTAATCCTACATCTTACATCCCACCCAGCTTTGCGGACGAGTCGCAATTGTCCACTGGCCAGCGCGGGGTGGACCGAGTGCGCGGCTACCCCATCGGCCGTCTCAACGTCAAGCTCAACTACTTCGAGGAGGTGTTCACCAGCCAACACTGGATGATGCGCATTTACAGGGTGCGCGACCGGCCGCTGCGCGACCCAACATCGCGGGTCAGCAAGAAGGGGAAAACCGCCAGCCGCCAAGGCTAGATGCTCCTGAGGGGAGCAGCACCATCGACTATCGGACCTTAGAGCATAGGACCCGAGCATGACCCAGACGTGGACAGCGGGCCGTGGGAAAGTGGGCCTGGCGCAGCTGCATTGCAAGGGTAGTCTCGTGATTGCAACGTACACCAGCCGGGTGTGGTATTGAAAGGACATTGCATGGTGTTGATGTGGGTAAGGGAGTCAGGGAGTATCGGTGTGTCTGGGCGGCATGTGACAGCCTGGGGAGTTTTGTTAGGGAGGGGGCCGGTGGTTGAGGGCTAGGTAAGGTGCAGCCCTGCAGTACTGCCTTGGGAAGCCAAACCTGTGCCACCTTCTGTCTGCAGCTATGTTCTAAATGCAACCAAGCTGCATGCGCCTGACGTCCGAAGGGCTCTGGCCGGCAAAGCGCACAGCGACTTATGTGGACCGGCATTACATGATATGTGTGTCGTGCAGATCAAATGCAGGCCGCTCTGGATATGTCCAGTTGGGTGCCGATTGATGCCGACTAATGGCGCACTCCTGTGCATGCTGGGTGAAGGTCACAGCCGTGTCTGCACAGTTGCAAAATCGTATACAGTCGGTGTGCTGTACGATGGAATTTGCGAACTACACCATTCACCCGAATTGCTGTTGACGCCAGCAATGAGGTCGCCGGACGTATGCATGGAGCGAGTGTATGTACGTTATAGGAAGAGCCATGCCTCTAGCTTTCTAAGTTGGAACGAAGCACTGCCATGGAACGGGACTTCGTTTACTCGTCGGCATGTGAGGAGGACGTAAATGTGTTGCCCAGAGCGAAACGGGTACACATGATGTGTATGTGCGCGCGGATATGCATGGCATTATGAGCATATATGTCTCCTTCGTAGCACAAGGGTAATTACGGCAACAGTATAAGAGTAGTTACGGCAATAGTATAAAACCCTAATGACATCTTGACAATAGCCCAACCGCAGCTCAGCCAGAGGGTTGCAGAGATGGGGGATTGGGGGCAGGTACTGGTCAGGCGGGATGGGGAATAGGGTTGACGACGTCAGGATGGGATGTGGGGCCCAGGGCGAGGATTAGGGATTAGGCGTGCTACACTACTTTTGGGATGGGGATTGCTGTCGGGGGTGAGGATGGGGATGGGATCCCTGTCTGAGGGATGGGGATTGCAACCTTGACCAAGGAGGGGATTGGGAGCCCTGGCCAGGGATGGGGATGGGACCCTGGTCGACAGGACGGGGATTGCAGGCTTTCGCAAGTTTAGGATGAGGTCGCTGCCATGGGATTGGGAACACAGTTGGAGGATTAGAATTGGGTGTTCTGCTGTAAAATGAGGCTGCAGGTGCAGAACTTGGAAACTGACAGGACTGCAAAACAGGCCAAGGATGGATGGTTTAGTTGTCCATAGTTGCTTACATGGAAACTCAAACAAACACAAGGAGGTTCTGCTTGCAAGTCGCGTCCCATAGCAAACCAAACTCAAACACAAGGAAGTTCTGCTTGCAAGTTGCGTCCCATAGCAAACCAAACTCAAACACAAGGAAGTTCTGCTTGCAAGTCGCGTCCCATAGCAAACCAAACTCAAACACAAGGAAGTCCTGCTTGCAAGTCGCGTCCCATAGCAAACCAAACTCAAACACAAGGAAGTCCTGCATATAAGGCGCGTCCCATAGCAAAACAAACTCAAACACAAGGAAGTCCTGCTTGCAAGTCGCGTCCCATAGCTAACCAAACTCAAACACAAGGAACTTCTGCTTATAAGGCGCGTCCCATAGCTAACCAAACTCAAACACAAGGAAGTTCTGCTTATAAGTCGCGTCCCATAGCTAACCAAACTCAAACACAAGGAAGTCCTGCTTGCAAGTCGCGTCCCATAGCAAACCAAACTCAAACACAAGGAAGTTCTGCTTATAAGTCGCGTCCCATAGCTAACCAAACTCAAACACAAGGAAGTCCTGCTCCGGCATCGGCCGACTGCCCGACGGGGTCCATCCCAAGCGTTTCCATGATGACTTCGGCCATGTCCCTGGCGAAGCCCAACCCCGTCAATTTTGCCAGCTTTTGACGCTTCTGCAGAAGGTTAACACCATTGGGAATAGAACAGGCATGGAACGCGACTTGGTGTAAATGTGAGAAACGTGCACCATTGGTGCCAGTTCTTCAGTCAGACGCAGTCCAACCCCGTTCTTACCTTGTCCGGCCCATGCACATCCACACCCAGGGCACCATCGGATGCCATTCTGGAAGAGATAACAAACGGTCGTCGGGCTGTTAATAGCTTGCGCTTAAGAAGGTGGGCGTCTTCCAAGACGAAGTTTGGGACACTTTGAATAAGACCCGAACGTAATCTGTATGCAATCTGCAGACCCTACTGGGGGACAAGTCCGCAGGAGGCGTATCAACATGCAAGACGTTATCAACAGCAAGCCGGTTTGGGGGTCCAAGTACAGCCTGTCACGCTGACTAGTTGGACAAGGCTGTATGCTCTTCTGCGTGAAGGCATAATGACTTCACCAGGAGAGCAGCAAGAATGAAGTCGCCACTGCGACCCAGTTGTACGACAGCACCACAGAACCAGCCTTAGACGATCCGGTCGCTTCGCTCCGTCGCATCTAAGCCAACAAAACGTTATCAACAGCAAGCCGCTTTGGGGGTCCTGGCTCAAAGTGAGGCCCACCCTGGAGTTAGTTGTTAAGCTTTCATGTTACTTCCTCATACAAACTGCTCTC